TCATCAGGGAAATCCAGCTCATAACTTCAGTGATAGCATGGCGAGAAGGAATTTTGTCCATCTGGAGCTGTAGAGATAACAGACTTAAAATGCATGTTGTGAAGAAAATGGATAAGATATTCTTGCTTTGCATTACCATAGCACATTTCCTTTACCTGATCTTACTATCACGTTATTCTACATCCCTAACATATCACTGAAGTTTATTAAAAAAAAAAGAAGTAGAAAAAAAAGAAAGGTTTTAATAGGAGATACATTGTGTAACTGCATGCATCCTAGTAAGAAAATATCATATTAAAGGCGTCTTATTTCCATTCTTCATTGTACAAATAAGCTGGACAAACTCAAAGATTCAATTTCTGACTTCCAAAAGGTGCTGCATTCTCATTCCATAATTCTGTATTGGGCTTACATAGAAGATAAACTTTAAGCTATGCTTTTCCTGTCCTTGTAAATGGCTAATGAATAGATGCATGGAAAATAATTTTATACAACTCTTCTTGTGGTGGTGATTTCTAAATGGGTTGATTTTGAATAGTACCTGTTTTTTTTTTTCTTAAAAGACGCACTTTCAACATTTGATACAGTAGTGCTTGCTTACATTTAGTTACTCAGAAATGTGTTCTATGACTTTTTTGGTAGACATATATTTTGCGTTACAAGACAGTTCAGAGATCTACTGAATCACATTATTTTGTTTAATATAATAGACTCAGGCAACATTTTTACCCTTCCTCTCTCCCTCTAAATCACGATCATATTACTAACTCTGAAAGCATTCCAAATTATAAACTAAAGCAACTGCTTAGACTGATAACCTCCTAGCAACTAAATACTAAGCCAACTTTTAGACCAGTATAATTCTTTAACTTCAGTATTATAGCATTAAAAAACCAAAACTACACAACCAAAACCCCTCCTGCTCCTGCATACACTAGCAAGAACCTTGCACAATGTTTTTAGATTTATTTTGTCTTGCATAGATTTGAACCTAGTCTATTCAATTTGAACAAAACCACCATCCAAATCTGACAGGGCACAGGGATGTGAACTCCCTTTTTCCAAAAAGCATACCAACAGATGCAAACCCTCATCTGTTCTTTGGCTAAAATTTAACAAATGTAACTGTGAAAGTTTGACATTAACACCAATTGGTGTTAGACAGTATGGGTAGACAGGATTTGGACATGAGTGTAAGGTTTCCCATAATAAAACAGGAGTAACATTCCTCCTATCTTGCCTCACATGGATAAATTGAGGAAGGGAGCAACTATCTCTCAAAGGCAGTGCCAACCATACGATCTGAATTTTCTGGAATATCAAAGGCCATCACTGGCCTTCCCTACCTGGTGCAATTTCTCTTGTACTGCTGGGATTTGTGTGAGCAGCTCTGTCCACTGACTGTCAATATGGGACAATCCCGCACGCAGTGCTGCTGTATCCACCTTCTTCAGCCTGAGGAGCTGGTTCCCAGTGCTCAGGACAGAGGATTTCTGTGATGATTTAGCATCAACTTCTTTTGAAAACTCCTGTAAGCAGAATCATTTTTGTGGAAATAATCAGCTACTTGTTTACTGTACTTAAGGCTTTACCTCAGAAAGTTAAGAATATCCTCCCTTCCTTTTAAAAATATGTATTTTCTGTTACTGTTTACCAGCTATACTTCAGACCAAGTGAGAACAAAAATTGTTTTCAGTCATAAAACCATTTTCTGTTTTCAGAATCATCAAGCTTTACAGTCATTGCATATAACAAAGGAGTGCTGAATGTGCAAACATACCAGTTTTTTGAAGGACAGTTCACCTACAGAAACAGATTTTTTTTTTTTTTTGCATACCCACTAATTCAGCGATGAGGAAAAGTATAACCATATGATTGCTCAACTGACTGTTTGTAATTGGAGAGAAAAAGGTGCTCTAGGTGTATGAATGACTTACCAAAAAGGAGTTCAGGTGGTCTCGGACTGTTTCCAGTTCCTGAGGAACTGTCAAAGACTGCTGGCTCCAAAACTCAAGTCGCTCCTTTGCAGAGTGTAACCAATGTGTCAGTTCTCTTGATTCACTCTGATATCTGTAAAGATGTTTAAAGAAAACTAAAACAGTCATCACCACTTCTTGCCTCCAACTGAGCAGTGTCTCCTCCACATGTTAGAGGAAGATATGGTATGCCAGATTTAAAATAAAAATATTTTCTTTCCTTTATTAAATTTCAGAAAAATGTGATTTAATTTTAAAGACAGGGATGGTATCAGGAAGCTCTTATTTTAGCCATTACACCCACAATTCCCAACAGTGCCTTCTTTTTGCCTCTTAGGAAAAACTATGTTTAATGAAGGACTAGTAACTAGGTTATCGATCTGTTTGAGCAAGCTCCAACAGCAGCCCACCCCGTGTCACACACATAAACACATTTTTGCTTTCCATCAGAAAGTTCAATCCTCCAAAAGCTTTACTACAAGATATCTCAGAGCAGAAATGTAACATTTTTTTCCGAAACTATCTCCATATCATTTCACATGCCAAGCAAATAATGAGATGTCAGAATGAGAGTGTCTCCACATAACCTGTATACATACAATCCCTTTATGTGTCTCTCTTGAAAGGCTACTGAGCCAATGAGCCAGGGATATGATGAACAATAGACAAAGCTTATATCACTTAGAGAATTCATTTCAAAAGTAGCATATGAACATTACTAAAGGCAGCTAAAAACTCCCTTCCACATATGCAATGACAGAGATCCACAAGAACCCAGCAGTGGCAATGCCCCTACCAGAACATGCTGAGGCCACTCATGCTACTTAGCAAAGCACATGCCCTTTCTCATCAACCTGTATGGACATGGGGCTTCTAACTTAGTTATCTAAATAAGATATCTTCTGACTTGCTCCCACCGGCTGTTATCTGGTACATGTTTTATTGCAAATGAGAGAGTACGATAGCACTTGTATGGAACAGCAGTAGGATATTATAGAGCAGTCAAACTATCACATACATCTCAAAGTACTTTCTTTTAAATGATGAATCTAATAGTTCTGGGTTCAGAATGACTTTGACCTGAACAGCACAGGTGAAGAAGTTTATACTGTCCATTACATCAGCATTACCTTGTCCAGTGCTTCAGTATTGTCTCCAGCCTGTGAAGCTCCTTGGTAACCTTGCTGGTGTTACTTAACCAGCGTTCTCCAAGTTGGTTCAGTTGACTTTCAAGATCTGAGCAGCTAACAGAAAAGAGGAGCCTTTTCCCATCATCTAGCACTTGATATAATTTAGGTTGGTATTCAGTCAGGTCAGCTCTCAGATGCTGTAATGACAGAGGAGACGGTTAGATAGCTCTGCAGGTCTCTGCTACCACACTTTCTCAACATTTAGTTTTCTTTTATTGCATTTTGTAGGATAACCAGTGTCACCACGGCACATCACATTTTTTTCCCTCTGCTCCAGCTCTAGTAACCTGCTCAAAATCTGAACGTGCTGTCACAAAACGCCTCACTTCAATATGTCTATTGACAGCTCCTTATGATGAAGTCCTCCTTGGTGTAGACATTTTACACTTGAAAAGAACAACTTCAAGAGAATCTTCATGAGGCAACACCATTTCTGAGATAAATTGATTAAAATGTCAGAACTTAATCTACCATCTACTGAAAACTACTGCAATGAAAGTTAAAGGTGTCCAATATCAAATTATTAACAGTGGCCACACTTCAGCCCTTTCAATGCCTATCTTCAGCTCTCTGGTCATTTAACTCTTCTTTTTACTGATCTACCCTCCTGCTATCCATGGCTACAAAAGAAAAGATTACCGTCCCCCCCGCAACCCCTGTACACAGAAGCCAATTGTTACGGCAAAAGAAAGCAAAAAGGTACTGAAAAAGGGAAGGCTGTTAATACTCTTAGCCTGAATCCAACTGGGAGCAGAGCCAGATTTCATTTAAATGGTGACTTGTGGATGGGTAAAGAATTTGTATGTGTGGGCAAATATACCTGCCAAATTCCGCTATCATTACACAAATAGTACAGATTTTTAAAATATCTGTATATTTGACTAACCTTGAGCACAAAATGTACTTGCATTCCCATTTTTCAGTTATGCTGAAACTGATCTGAAGATTAAATGTACAAAACTACCAGTCTCATGGTGAGTACATAAACTTTCTATCACTCTTACTTTCTATTTCACAGAGATACAGAATTTTTATATTTATATATGTGTGTGTCTGTGTGTACTTACATATAACATATACACACAAATAAATGTATAACTTCTAGAGAGTAGCATAAAAAATTCCAAGATAGCCATAAATTAATTATGATGGATTTTTAACCTAAATGTTGTCGCAGGGAGAGAAAAAGAAGGTATTAAAAATCATGCCATAGCAGAGTCCGAGAATCTGGATTTGAATAACCTAATTTATGTAACTGATGAGAGAAACAAAAGAGGAAATCTAATTTAGGGCCAGGACCAACTCAAACAATGCCTAGCATTAAACAAAACCAAAATAAAACCAACACACAATAGATTGCTTAAGTTCTCCTCATACTATTGCAAAAGCAGAAAGCTGTGTAGTAAAAGAACAGTATACATAACAAATTCAGAGTAGACAAGAAGCCAATTTGCAAGAAAAATTTGGCAGACGTTTTTCTGTAAAACAAAACAAGAAAACAAAAATAAACGCAACCAAAGTGTCTGGTGTATAACGAGACAAAGGCAAAACACTAGACCAGAATTCTCATTTTGAGGACAGAAAAAACAGGATGTGGTAGAAAACCTATATTTAAACTACTAGTTCTTGTTGCATTTCAGAACAAGGAAGGCAACTTGGGGAACCGCAGCTTGTTCAGCCTCACCTTGCTCTCAGGAAAGATCACGGAGCACTTCCCCCTTGAATCCATTTTCAACGACAAAAAGGACCAAAAGGTAATCAGGAATATTCAGCTTGGATTCACTAACTTGACAGCCTTTTACAGAATCATAGAATCATCACAGAATGTCCTGAGTTGGAAGGGACCCACAAGGATCATTGAGCCCGACTCCTGTCCCTGCATAGGACAACCCCAAAATTCACACCATATATCTGAGGGTGTTGTCTAAAAGCTTCTTGAATATTGTCAGGCTTGGTGCCATGACTACCTCCCAGGGAAGCCTGTTCCAGTGCTCCACCACCCTCTGGGTGAAGAACCTTTTGCTAATATCCAATGTAAACCTCCCCTGGCATATCTTCCTGCCATTCCCTCGGGTTCTATCATTTGTCGCCAGGGAGAAGAGATCAGTGCCTGCCCCTCCTCTTCCCTTTGTGAGGAAGCTGTAGACCGCGATGAGGTCTCCCCTCAGTCTCCTCCAGGCTGAACAGACCAAGTGACTTCAGCTGCTCCTCATATGGCTTCCTCTCTAAACCCTTCACCATCTTTGTGGCTCTCCTCTGGACACTCTCTAGTAGCTTTGTGTCCTTTTTGTACTGCGGCACCCAAAACTGCACACAGCACTCCACATGAGGCCGCATCAGTGCAGAGTGGAGCAGGACAATCACCTCCCTCGACTGGCTGGCAATACAGTGCTTGATGCGCCCCAGGACACAGTTGGCCCTCTTGGCTGCCAGGCTACACTGTTGGATCATGTTCAACTTCAATTATGACAAAATTACTGTCTCTGTGGATGAGACTGACTTCAGTATGGCCTTTGTCACCATTTCCCACAGGACCCTCCTCTGGAAGCGGAGAGAATGTGGGCTGGATAAATGGACTGTTAGATGGGTTGAAAACTAGCTGCATTACCAGTTTCAAACACCAGTGATCAAAGGCTCGATGTCTGGCTGGCAGACCGTAATGGGCAGAGTACTCCAGGGATTGTTGATATTTGAGCCCAAACATCTTCAACGTCTTCATTAACGGCATGGATGATGATAGAGAGCGCTCCCTCAGTAAATTTGTGGATGACACTAACATAGGGAGAGTGGTTGACACAAAAAATGGTAGACTTAGTCCAGAGACACCTTGATAAACCTGAGGTTGGAGGCAGCAGAAACCTCAGGAGGCTCAACAAGAGGTGCAAATTCTGTGCCTTGAGCAGAATAACCTTGTTTCTCAGTACAGGCTAGGAAGGGAATGGCTAGTGTATTTAACCTCGCATCTTCCATAACCCAGACATTGTGACTAAGGCATGTCACAGCACTGGCCTACATTAGGACTGTGAGCAACTGACTTAAGTTATTTTATTATCCCCATCTGCATGGTGCTGATGAGGCCATATCTAGTGCATCTGATTCTGCCCTGCTCCCACCTCCTGCTGAGTTCAAGAAGAAGGAAGCAGTCAGGGTCTATTAGATTATTACCTGTCTATAATAATAATATATATCTATTATATATAATATATAACATAATATATATATTATCTTTATCTATTATCTATCTCTATCTCTCTGTAGAGCTATTAAAATGTTTAGGGACTTAGAGCACACATCCTTTAAAAAGAGGCTGAGGGAGGTGTGCTTGTTTTAGATTGACGAACAGGAGGCTAAGGGCCAGTCTAACAAAGGCCTACAACTATTTGCAGTAGAATTAAAAAGATCATAGAGGTAAATGCTCCTCAGTAGTGCCACACAGTATAAAAAGGACAATGGTGATAAGCTGGAAGTTGAAGGTTTAGATTGGGTATTATAGAAAACCTTTTCAGTAGGAGGTGGTGCAGCACAGCAATTGGTCTCCAGCTCGGCTGTGGGATCTCCATCTTTTGACGTTTCCAATACTGTAGCTGATCCAGCCCATGGCACCTGTCCTGCTTCACGTGGGAGGCTGGACTGGATGACTTTCAGAGGTCCCTTTCATCCAACTTTTCCATAAAGAATGTCTAAAAAGCACCAACCTGAAAAAGTGTAATCCGGTCTGTAAGCCTGTCCTCCGTCTCTTCCACCAAACCAACAGTGGGGATGCTACTTTCAACAGACTCCAGCTGTCTGGTAAGTTCCTGGTAATCTTCATCTAGACACATCCAGGTCTGCAAGCACAAATTATCCATGTATACTGTGAATATTGATCTGGGTATCTAGAATTTTTATTACTTGCTTTCTCAGCCTGAAATCCTATAGCTGCATTGTTGTGAATGTACAGAAATAACAGTGCAAATGTCCAGTGAACCTATAATAAGACACCATCTCTGTGTTAAGCTCAGCTTTTAGTTAGAACACATGGATACAGCTGTCATGCTCTCCTTGTCAGCTAAAGCTAAGCAGCGCTTTTAAATTTAGAGGAACACAACTTCTATCACCTGAAGGTCACAACAGTTAAATAGCAAAGATTATACATAGTCTATCAGTGCATTGTATGTACGGCAAAAGGGACTGATGTCCATCAATTCTGTCCAAGCACAGGAAATCAACATTACAGAATATCCTGGTGGTTGATCACAATGGCAGTACAGAAAAGACCACAGAAATTCTTACCTCTAGAATGTATTCCAGCTCCACACCTCGTTTATGAGCCAGCTTTAACACAGCTGAAGCTTGTGTCATTAGCTCTGAATGTGACTGAGTTTCCTTCAAGAGGGCAAAGCTACTCATCTTTCTAAAGAGCGTTTCTGTCAGGATCATGTGAGATTCCAACCCCTGAAAATATTCCTGAGAAATTTGGGTGTGAGGGAGAGGGTAAAGAGAGAATAGAAAAGAGAAAGTGCAATTGTTACTCAATTCATTACCATTAAAGCAGCATTTTAAGACAATAGTAGTACAATCAAGTAGCTGTAGACATAAATTAGGTAAATTTTTCACTCCACCAACATTTCACAAAATCCAAGACACAATATAAAAAGGACAAAGGCCTTTTTAAAGAAAGAAAGAGATCATCCTTTCCACACAAATTCTATCACAACTCTCATTCCATAAACAAAAATAGCTTAAATCAGATACACACCACCAAAAAATTCTGCCTAATAAAAAAGTGTGGAAAAGTCTTGTTATATTTTGTGGGTGCTATTAGCAAATGTAAATTTCAATTGGAAAAAAAATGGAGTGGTGGATGAATTTGCTATGTAGCATGACAGGACAAGAATAGGAACTTGTTATTAGAATGCAGAAGAAAATGTGCTCTACCTGGGTTCATCTTCAACAGAGCATTTGAAAGTTATTCAGTCAGAAGAGTTAATTAATTCCAATTTAAAATACAATAAGTTTTAATATATCTTGATTTAATACTGGCCCACCATTCCGAAAAGCTCCTGAACCTTTAGGACCAGAAGGTTAGCAATTTGCTGTGTAAAAGCTTACAGTTGTGATTAGTCCTGAAATATACCCCAGTTTCTTACCTTATGTTTCTCAAGTAGTGATCGAACCTCTTCCTTAGAAGCAACAATCATTTTCTGGTCACCAGCCATCTTTTCTTGGCCTGTTTCTAACAGGTCAGCCAGGTCCTGCAAAGCCCGTTCATACTGTCTCTTAAGAGCCAGATTCTGATTCAGGTCACTCCGTCTGGATCCAATGATCATCATCAACTCATCATACATATCCTTGGGGGCAAAGAGTAGCAATGGTGATTCTTATTTTCACACCTTACACGTCTTTCCCAGCTCAAAAAGACTGTGCAGATATACTGACTTAATTGATAAATTAACAACTCGCCATTTAAAGAGAGAAAAAATAAGCAAGACCTGCAAGTCTTTCAAGTGCCTGCATTCAGGAACAAAGCACCATCCCAAAGGCTTTCTTTAAGTAGCAAAGGAGTAGGGTGATTGAGCTTAAGTCATCAAAATTGTGACTACTGTGTGGCTACTGCACACTGCAGATGCTGTTTACATTTTAATTCTTATAATGCAGGGGGGGTTGGATGGGCTCCATCATGGATATGGACTATAGGCATCTCAAAGCTAGATTTGTCTCCCTCTCCTGCCCCAGCAGCTTACTGGTAGCAGGCAAGATACATAAAACCCATAGTAAAAATCAAACCACGCCCAGAATAGCAATATATATAGAACAGTAAAGTGTAGAAAAAGTGCAGTGTGTATTTCATAGTGTGCCCATATTGCCAAATTACAAAACAAGCCAAAAGGAAGAATCTCATGAGTTCCCGTGTACTATTACTCATCTTGTATAACTCAACCATAAAAGCGAGAATAACCTACAGATGCTTTTCTTCACCTGAACAAGATTACTTTCTTCTTTTCGTTTTGAGAATTGTACTCTCAGAGTATACATCTGACTGTGAGGGTAAGCCCGTACTTTTGATCAAGACAAGACATCCAGAAATTAATAAACAAGAATATCTCTACGACCATCCAGTGCTACAGCAAAGTACCCATCCTGACTGCAGCTGACTCTCCTAGATTTAAAGAGACAATTGTGAGAAGCACAACTGTCAAAAATGCAAAGGGAAGGCTTTTCTAAAAACCAAAATCAAGGGGAGGGGGATATCTACACATAACCTGACAGCAAAAAAAAAGCAGGAGGCTCTAAGACCAAAAGGATAAAGAACTGGGCAAAAGACACATTTGCACAAACTCTTTGTCATTCATGTTTAATGGAGATTACTGTTTTGTCGGCTTAATAAGTTTATGGTTCAGTTTCAGCTGTTTTCTTTGCTTCCAATTTATTATTATGTCATTATAAAGGGTAAAATTCAGTTGTAAACCTTCTCCTTGATCCTTCCTTAAGCATTTCCCTGCCTTAGCACCAAACTCCTCACAAAGGAGTTTCAACAGCCTTATAGAAGTTCTGGATCAATTGCCCACATGTATCTACTTCAGAGAGCCTTAAGATAAGAGTCCTACTACTTAGGTGGTTCAAAACCAAGTCTAAGTGAAAGAATGCAGGAACATGAGAGGTGTTCTAGTAAAAGCAGAACATTTCCAGTTTCAGGTCACACTTAGCTATCTATCCCCCTTCACCTCCCTCCTTTTTTTTTTTTTAATGACGGATATGAAAGGGAACTAGACCCCAGTTCATAAGGCACTGGCGAGAACAGGGCTCAACCTTCAGCAGACATCTATGTTTACATGCTTAACTTTATCTGTTTGAATAGGGACTCAATGACAGCTGAAAGAAAACATGGTTTTGTGTGTTTTTATGATTAACACTACTAATAATAGAGATGCTAGAAAATTTGAAATTGCAAAAGTAGAAAAACTACGTGAATCAGGTAGAAAATGATCTTTTATACACACTGAAATGCTTTTAAATATGCTTTCCTAAACTTCTTCATGAACAATAAAAAGCAGCATACCTTTGATATCACCAGATAGGTCTAGGATGGAACTTAAGAACCATACCTGGATCTTAGACAGCTCTTGCACAGAAGGTTGGTCAATTTGTAGCTTGTCTACACGTTTCTTTAATTCATTGATTCCAGTATCTAGTTCCTTCAAACCTTCTTCTGCCTGCAGTATGACCTGTATTTGAAAATTACATCATTTAGTTTGAAGGTTTAATAACAGTACTGTAGCTGCCATACAGTAATATTCTTTTCTGTTTTCTGCCTGAAGTATTAATCAGTTCTTCAGTCTGCTAAAATTCTAAAGGATACTATAAAGAAAAAGCATTAATTCAAATTTGGGAGAGCCCAGCTTGTTTCTTGATGTTAAAGACATTATGGCATTATTATTTTTTTAATAACAAACTGTTTTAGTATCATACACTATTGTATACAAAACTTTGCTGTGAAGTTCCACGCTTTTAATTATATGGTACAGGCACAAAAGGCCTATTAGACACCTTCTTTTAAAGCATTCTTTTTATTAATGCTCATTCCTGTCTGTCCTGATTTCAGCTGGGATAGAGCACTATACCAGCTACTAGGAGAAAAAAAACAATTAACTCTATTTCAGCCGAAACCAGGACACTGCCATATCTGACCACCAAGCAAATAACCATCACAGCAAAAGACATGCATGACAGCAAAGAGCTGTGCACAGTTCCCTTACAGGACTAGGATAGGGCCAAAATTACTGTCAAGGAAAAGGAGTTGTACATCCCCTTTCATACTTGGAAAATGACAACTGAAAGCACACAGGTTGGTATTTACAAGTGTATGCAGGTGATAATTTGACTTTTTTCAATGGAAGCTACAAGAAACAAGGTCTTTCAACCTAGGAGTCTCTGCTGAATTAATGCATGCCAGCTATAACAAAGTTTAAAGCACAAGGTGGACTCCTGTAGTTAAAGTCATTTGTTAAGGCCCTTTCTTGGAAACTGCATATCCAAATGCTTAAACTATATATGTGAGTAGAACTCCTGACTCCTGTTAATGCGAAGTATACATAATACAGTCACTAAACTTACACTCCATGGAGCTAAGTTACCTGGCTAAGGGTCTTATTTCTACTTTCCCAATCACATCTTGAACAAACACCAATGCATTTAAATTTGAATGTTTTATCAGTCAAGGTAGATGTTCAGAAAAAAAATCAATTCAGTTGTTTTTGTTACCATGTCATTTTCCTATTTGGTAGTTAAATTAATCATATAGGAGCTAAATTTTTACCAGTCTTTCGCATCATGGAAGACAGGAAAGAAAGACATGGACTGCCAGCTCTCTTACTCATACATGAATTAAAATTCCTTCAAAATTTGATTATCAGATATATAAAGGCCAGCATTTCTGTTTAGCTGAAGGATAAATCTCTTCCTCTCAGTCACCTGCTGGAAGCAGACAATAGTAGCTATTGGGTAACAAGAAACATCTGTAGAAAGTAGCCCTTAACGTACTTCATTTACTTTTCTCACTGCCAAAACAGAAACAAGGAAATAGGATGTATTTTTTCATAATATTAATTACTTATTTATCAGGCAATTCCTGATAAAGAAAAAACAATTATTGCCTTAAATTAAAATGAATAACAGTCAAGATATTGCTATAAACCAGTGCAGAAGACAGTGCCTTTGGGTTTTAATAAAGTGTAATAGCCAAAAAATTTAGCCAAACTTTAGACTTTTTTTGGTTCATTGAAATTTTCTTTCTGTCAAATAGTGCCCAGTATGTGCATAACTAGGTCACCTGGGGAAATTAGAAAGACACTTTGTGTTTGTTTGTTTGTTTGTTTGTTTAATTTATAAATATGTGTAGCGCACTCTTGGAAGTACTCATTTTCACACACTTTATGTGAACAAATATATTCTCCCATAAAAACCAGCTATTCTCTAGAATCCAGTTATACCTTGAATAGAAACTTTCTCTCTTCCCTTCCCTCTACCCAAGTAATAGACATTTGGTAATACCTGCATTTGTTCTGTTTCTGGTCTCTTAACAGCCTCTTCTAGTTTCTGTAGAACTAAATATTTGTTATCAGCCACCGATGTAAACAGGAGCTTCAGATCATTCTACAGGAGACAACAACCACCACAAATTACAGCCAATCACAGCACAAACCAACTGAAAAATATTTTATGTTCCAAAAAGTTCAAAGCATTACAATGTTACAATAACAGCACTAAGGCCTAAAAACTATTGAACATTGGAAGCACCATAATTATCCAATGCAAGACATGCAACATTGCTGAAAATCCATAACTGAATACACGTATGAGCAAAAAGCTAAACCAACTTCTATTCAAAACATAACCTGTGAACACACTTCTGCTTTTGCCTTCCAATTAGATAATTATTTAGCAAGGGTCAGTTAGCTTCATTTAACAAAAATACATTATTCTTGTCTAGTTTATTCAATCACATATGCTTGTAAACAAGCTAGGTTTTACTTTTTAAGGCAAGCTTTTTTCATTACAAACTTGAGCAAATATAACGAAAAAGTAAACAAGGCTTCAACACATTACAGGGCTAACTACACATTACAACTTTTAGAGTACTTTATCGGAGTAGACGCATACATATTACTTAAAAATTTTGCCAAGCTACAAGCAAATTTTTTTTTCAGGCATTCATCCCAACAAAACTCGTAATATTGGTAAAAAAGAAAATAATCAGCACATTTCTCTAAGACTTTTAGCATTACATAGGAGTGTGTTTCTGATTTTTTTTTTTTGCATGCAGTAATTCTTTTAAATATTAAATATCTCTGGTATAACAATAAGGCACAGAATTCTAATCACCCTGTCTCCTTTCTTCAGCAAAGGAAGCCCTTTCATTGAGAACTGGTGAAATTGTTTTTTTCCTGTCTACTGCAGAGGAAAGGTTATGGAGTTTGGAAAGAAATCCTGTAGCATCAACATATGAAACAATGATACTAATCTAAAGACACCAGCCATCTATTTTCCAATTTTTTTGCTGGAATTTATGTTTTTTCATTAAAACTAAACCATATTGGAGGCTTTATATGATAAGAATAGGAGAGAAGGTAGAGACCAAGTAAAGTCTGAAATAATTTCTGAACTCTGAAAAGATTTCTGAAACTTAACATTTCTCCACTTCTCTCCATTTTTTCTGCTTTGCTCAATACAGACAGCTTGAGATACAAGCTCTTATAGAATAATGGGATGGCTTAAAGGTGATCAGAAAGGTGGGAATCAGTATTATGTTTTCTATTTTATCACAATAAAAACAGTGTACTCTCATTTATGAAATTGTAAAATGTGTAGAGTGGAACTCTAAAGTTACTTTTTCTCCTTTGAGAACAGTAGTCAACAACTTCAATTTATTGCAATGCCAGCAGGATGAGAAATTGTGGGATGAATGATCACTTCTACAATGATTGCATGAGTTGTGGAAGGCTTCTAGCAGAGAGTTTAAATTTTGGATCATGATTTGGGTGCCAAGTTTTGCATAGCCTAAGAATAAGTTTGATTTTCAGTAAAAACCTGTGCAGACTTGTTCTCTTGATTTGGTACCAAAATTTCTCATTGCTTTGAGAATCACATCCTTTATATCCTCATTTGACATGTACCCCTGTTAACTCCTTCAGATAGGCATCATACCTTGAAAGTCACTATTTGCTGGAGCCTTCCTTTCACCTGGTGGCATTTCTGGTTTACTACTGACTCCAGCAAGGTCAGTCTTCTCAGGAGACAATCCAAAGTGTCTTCTATAATATCCCTATTATCACCATTCTCAGGAAATATCTGAGCAAACAGACTCTTGTTCTTATCCATTTCTTCTGTTATCTCTTTGATTTCTTTGGCAAGAGACTGATTTTGTAGAAAACAAAACAAAGTGACAATTAGACATTCTAGAAAACAGCAAACATATTGCCATAATCATTGCCAATTTTGCAGTGATGCAGTGACTTTTTTATATTGTTAATATACACACACTAGACAAAGTTATGCAGCTACAGTATTTCTGATAATAAAAAAATCCCAGACTGCTCTGAGGAAAACAAGTGCTGAAACAAGATAAACCTGCCTGACTAAAGGCTTCGTGAAGCAGAAATCCATGTAGCTGCTGAAAAAGTCTTTTTCCCTCCCTCATCCCTCTCCGTCCCTCCCTCCCTCTCCTTTTCATGTTGATGAATTTGTACTGTTTTCATACCCCAGAGCACTCCTGCCTCTTTTTCACTTCATTTCAATTTCAGCACTGTGGTGTTTGCTAATACTTAGCAAAGAAGTTAAATAGAAGAAAGACTCTATGTTTAACTCTTTTCTGATGAGGCAAAACTCAGGTCAGGTGCTGCTTTCTGCAGCATTCTTGTATTGGGTTTGTGTGGCAAGGTTTTGGTAGCAGGTGGGCTACAGGAGTAGCTTCTGTGAGATGCTGCTAGAAGCTTTCCCCATGTCCGACAGAGCCAATGCCAGCCGACTCCAAGACGGACCCACCGCTGGCCAAGGCTGAGCCCATCAGCAGTGGTCGTAGTGCCTCTGGGATAACATATTTAAGAAGGGAAAAAAACCTCTGCAACTACAGCCAGAGAGAGGAGTGAGAATATGTGAGAGGAACAGCCCTGCAGACACCAAGGTCAGTGAAGAAGGAGGGGGAGGAGGTGCTCCAGGCGCCGGAGCAGAGATTCCCCTGCAGCCCATGGTGAAGACCACGGTGAGGCAGGCTGTCCCCCTGCAGCCCATGGAGGTTAATGGTGGGGTAGATATCCACCTGTAGCCCGTGGAGGACCCCACGCCGGAGCAGGTGGATGCCCGAAGGAGACTGTGATCCTGTGAAGAGCCCAGGCTGGAGCAGGCTCCTGGCAGGACCTGTGGACCCATGGAGAGAGGAGCCCAGGCTGGAGCAGGTTTGCTGGCAGGGCTTGTGACCCTGTGGGTGACCCACGCTGGAGCAGTCTGTTCCTGAAGGACTGCACCCCGTGGAAGGCGCCCACGCTGGAGCAGTTCATGAAGAACTGCAGCCTGTGGGAAGGACCCATGTTGGAGCGGCTTATCTCCTATTCCCTGTCCCCCTGTGCTGCTGGGGGGGAGGAGGCAGAGAAAATCAGGGATGAAGTTGAGCCTGGGAAGAAGGGAGGGGTGGGAGGAAGGTGTTTTAAGATTTAGTTTTTATTTCTCATTATCCTACTCTGATTTTGATTGGTAATAAATTAAACTGATTTCCCCAAGTTGTCTGTTTTGCCCGTGATGGTAATTGCCCAGTGATCTCCCTGTCCTTACCTCAACCCACAAGCCTTTCGTTATATTTTCTCTCCTCTGTCCAGCTTAGGAGGGGGAGGGACAGAGCGGCTTTGGTGGACACCTGGCATCCAGCCAGGGTCAACCCACCACAACCCTCTACACAGTGAATAAAGTTACTTCTAAACAGGTGCAGAATACTGCAATTACACAGATTATGACAGCAACATGTCACTTATCTAGGATTCTAATATTTTCTTTCTAAACACTACATAAAATGCACCCTTATTGGCAATTTAAAGGAAGTCTTATTCATGGATTCCTTACCTCTTGCTTGCAGAGGTATGTTTCTGTTTCTTCCTCTGGCAACAGAGCTGTGGCAACAAAGACCTGTTCTTCCACACCATCTAGCCACAAGGAAGTGGCTGTGACACCATCATACAGCTTCTGTTCAAGATGCAGGCTCTCCTCCACCCGTCCAGCCTGGGCAAAAGGAACCAGAGAAGTCGGGAGCAGAAGTACAAGATACTCTTTCTAACATCTAATATTTGGGAAAGGGATGGATTTCCAGGTGGGAGCTAGAGGAGTTTTCATTGTAAATGTGGCTCTGCTGGAAGACAGACGTAAAGACAATTGAAATGTTACCTCAGATGACATATCTTCAAAGGCCTGATTCAATTCAACCAATACTGGTGACACTGAGGATTTATCCTCATTCTGTCCTTCCTCCTTATACAAAGGCATCCCAGGTAGCAGTCTGTTTGGTCTGCTATAAAGCTGCTGAGAGAGAAGTACTAATTAGTGCTTTTGCCACATATATAGGGCACAAAATTCAGCTATACAGCTGACTGAGGATATCGCCAAATAATGCTCATGGCCCTCCCACAACTGTTCTGTCATTAATATTTTGAACAAAAGATTGCTCAACAGGAGGTTCACTAGAAGTGCAGAACAAATATGTGTGGCCAGAATTAGCAATGACTTGTTTTTACCAAAAAATTAATTAATTACTGTGAAATGAATACAACATATTTAGAACTTTGGAAGCTGATTTTAATGTAGTATTATATAAAGAAGAGTGGGCCTGGATCTATTAAAAAGAAAATGTAGGATGTACGCTAATATAGATCTTGGACTGTTCCCAATTTAGTTGATTTAATAGTTTTTAAAGATGTCACAAAAATAAATTGTTCCATATTCTTCGCATTAACTACATCACCTTAATACATCTGCTATGCACATAGTGTACCTCGTGTGGTGACAACTGCTTTCATAGAGAAAACGCAAAGAGAAATTAAAAATAGCTACCAGCTGTTCTTGTTCTAAAGCTTTCTGGAGCAGTCTCTGCTTGGTATTGAATTCCTGGTTCAGGCTTTCCCATTTCATCTTCATCTGTTCTTCAGGTGATGGCTTCTCACCTTCCAAGCCTAATTCCTCAGAGAGTGTATCAGGCTTCTCACTGAATGGCAAGATGCATACAGGTTTAACAAATACAAAAGTTAAAACATCATAAGGTGTTTGTTTCCTCTTTCAATTTGGAAATTCTACATTTAAATTGCTACTTTTTAAAGTTTTACTTGTTTTGTTTTTTTTTTTCAGATAGTAAGACAAATGCTGGTTTGTAACTGCAGGAAGTTCTTGACTGATGGGATAAAATGTACTTTCGAAGAAACTGTTTAGACTTGCAAGTACCCAAACTAAGTAAGAACACCCAAACCAGACTGAATATATACTACATTGAAATGTAACCTTTAAACAAGCTTTACTTCAAAGCATGAAATGAATAAAAATATTTTGTCTGGCCTCTTCCTCACCTCCACTCTCAAAATGCCAGATATACCCTGATATTTTAATGCAGGACAAGCATATGAGTTTAGCTTTGGTAAACAGTGAATGAAGTTCAGAATTTTCTGTTTGATTTTTTTTTGTTTGTTTCTATAGTATAACATGTTGTGACAGAAAGAAGACTCAAAAAGAAGGAGATAAGTTAAGTACTTTCTGATATTATAATAAAAAAACGCATTGAATTAACACAAATGCTGAGGAAAACAACTTACTGGAGTACAGCTTACATTCCTTATGGTTCTGCTGCCTCATGAACTACCTTCATGTTCTAGACTTTGGCATGCTGAAAAAGCCACAAAGGTGCTCACTACTACTGAGATACATCAGTGAAGTATTTTAAATGAAGGATTGCCTGCTCCTTGATTCTCAAGCTGATAATGTTCACCCTGGTTTCCTCTTCCCAAGACCTGGCCCTTCCGTCTCCCTCAAGGTCCGCATCAGCAGTAGACAGTTATTTTCTTCTGCCTTTGCTAGGGCAGAAGTCTCTCCCAGCCAGAACCGAGGCTTTTATAGACATCTGCTTCCCCAAAATGGACAAATGTGCAAGAAAATATAGACCAGAGATGAAATTTGAAATATACGAGGCTTCAAAAAGAAAAATATTCACTACTGCAGCAAAAATAAAATTAAGCAATGAGTATTTCATCTGGGAAGATCTGGTTACAATGGCAGACTACAATGTTTTAGAGATCAGCTATGATTCACACACCAATGCTGGACCATAGAGCTATAGTAACTGATCCACTGCTTGTCTAATGAATCCTACTCATTTGTAACTTTAGTGTGATGCTTGATAATAAGAATAAAAGTAATTTCTAAATGCTAAAGGTGATCTATTAGCACAAAACAGCTTGTGTAACTGTATTATCAGACTCCTGAATTATAAACCAGGACTCCAGTATCCTAGGTGCTGTATAAAATTGATAAAACAAAAATTAGTGGATAATGTGCAGAAGAGGGGTGTAAACATAAGGATGACAAAGCACAGAGTCATAGAAATTTACTTTGCAGAAGAACACATGAAAGCACACCTTATACATAGGCCTTCTGGAGCACCTTGCTGTGTTAGGATTTCTTCTCCACGGCATGCTACTGACCGAAGCAGATTCTTCTGCTCTTCTAGCTCTTGTTCCAGCTCCTAGCATAGCAAGTTACAAAAACCAAAACAAACCTCAAACAGATTGTTTTTGCCTTGGAAGGACATGTCTACATTGCATACCTGTCATGCAAAGATAGATGAGCTATTTCTGATATGGCTTGCTTGAGCACCAAAAGCAGTACAAAATCTCCACCCAGGGACACAGAAATATTTGGTATATAAACTGGATTGTTGAACTAACTGACTAATGCAATGCAGTTTCTGGAACCTGACCTAGTGAGGATGTCTGTGTATCAGGCAACACAATATACCTTGCAATGTGTGTATCTTTGCTTCTATAAAGACAATGCTGATTACCATTTTGAACAAATACTGTCATCTCCTTACAGTAACTTTAAGGGTTAATTCAATTTAATTTTACTAATGGACAATGCAAGTATAGAGTGATTAAGTGAGTTGACCGTGGTCATCTAGGAAGTCTAGTCTGCCTGGCTGTTACAGATATAAAATAGTGAGCTCAGATGCATCATTACAAGAGCACTGACTAGGAAACAGTGTAAAAATGAAGATTTCAGTGGAAATATTAACAAGAGTGGCTCAGCTATAGTGTTAAGCACAATCTAAAGATGGGAGTAAAAGAAATCCAAAACACCAACTTTCTGTTGCTGCAGAGTGCTCTGCTGCTGCTGTGAACGAGTAGTTCTTGCTTGCGCCAGCCATTCTTGGACACTGGGGCTTTGTGAGGAAACAAAGTCCAGATCACTCTCCTCCTTTTCTTGTAATGATCCCTGCTTTAAGAGAAATAAATATTTTACAAACTCTCTTGTATTTATATTGCTAGAGAGCTGGCAGGTCCAGCTCATCAACTCAAAACCACATGCCACCTTCCACCTCTCAAGCTGCTGGCTTACATAAATTTTGAAGTGAGTAATGACTAGATTTCTGACTTCTACTGGTCATTGGTTACTAGCAAGAAAGCATCCATAAAAATGTAAAAATAAACATGCACCACTGCACTTAGCAGAATAAGACACGAGGGATCAGAACCCATGGACTGATGTGTTTCTGAAGACTGTTCTGCTTCTCCTAAAAAACAGCGTTGGTCTGTAATGGAGGGTGCAGCTCTAACTGGCAATGCAGGGAATCAATGGATTGACTTTGCCAGGTTTTTAGTCTAATTAAAGTCAATTTTTTGTCTAACTGAAAATGAGAGAATACTAGTTGTCATTCTGGTCAAAATTTATTTATCAGTAAGTACATAAATCTATTTGTGGTTGGCAGAAACACAGTCAGTTAACAGCAGATTATATGATATGAACAGTAAAGACAGTAAGAGAGACCAAACCCCAGAATGTTATAATAGAACAGCAAAAGCAACAGTCCCTTCACTTCATACTCCTATCAGTATGTTTTTCCAACATTAGTGATTAAACGGGCCTTCTGCGCAAGCAAAGCAAAAAAGAGCAAATGCCTTAATAGTTCCAAAAACTGCTTTATCAACTTCTCGACTTCTGAAATCCATGTTGGCTGTAAATTTAAATTATTTTAGCGGTCACAGTATTAAAATGCAGGGATTTTAACACACCAGGTCTAATGTTAAAAACAGACTTGTTTAGGTCTGGCTACTTAGATCTACACACCTCTCTGGACTTATTTAATGTTACTTGCATGCACACAATGACTGTAGAGTTTGCACTTTTTTTTTTTAAGCTTCAAGAGCTAAAGCTGGGGATTAGTTCCTCTCCCATTTTGTTTATATACCTCATTTTTGTAGGATTCAGATTTTGCCCATGATTCAACTCTTATTCTAAATAGAGGAAGAACATCAAATGGTTCAGACTTTACAGCAGGCTCTCCAAAATGAAAACACATTCCACTTTGCACCTTGGCTTCAGGCACTGAAACAGCAGAGTTTTGCTAAATAGTGGAAGTTAGGTGTAAGATTTCAGTTTTGGGGGATGATGAGTATACTGGAGTTGAAAGGACTGATTAGTGTTAGAGGATATAAACCGTAAGAGAAGCAAAACGAGCAAAACAAGCAAGCAGGTATCTAGAGCTGGAAAGAACCATTAGTCCTTGCTCTATGAAATAGCTTTGTTTCATCAAGGATTCAGTTTGCAGGTAAACTGTAATATTTTACTTTATAGGAACAAGTTTCTAGAAGAGCTGACATGGTTGGAGTGTGAACAATGTCATTACAGAATATCAGATTAGGCAAAGAAACTATTATGTGAGGGATAAAGAGGGTCTAGAACTTTAATTTCTCTATTAAGAATGAGAAAAAAGACAGTCTTTCTGTAAATCATAAAAAAAAAAATCTGCTTCATTTTATATGCTTGAGGGACAACAGCTGTTCAACTTGTAAATTCCTTTAGAGAATAGTATCTAGTTCTTCATTGCATTCGGGCAGTCTGATTTCAGTTAGATTTTTGAGTCTCCTCTTCTCTGGGAAGAGGGTTGAGAAACTACAATTTTGGAATTATACTAAGATAAATAACTAGTAGTCCCACAGTTCCTGCAATAGCAAAGAATGTAAAAGGGATTGTGGCATTTATGGATGCAATGAGCTTTTGCAAATATGCTATTTTGCGTACTTTTTGGATCAAAATTATTTGTGAACCAGATTTTATTGCTCTCAAATCAAAGAATATGAATTTGAAAAACACATTTGCATTTTCATCTGAATTCTCTCTGGAAGAACTGTATTACATTTCCTTTAAATAGCCAGGGAAATAAATGCTTGAAGCTGTCATTCCTGGGGACTATCCACTCCAGCACAGAAAAAATTGGAAAATCCCTGAAGAAAATGGTGATAAAATTGATCTCTCAAAGGAGTGCAGAATTGTACAAACTTATATCAGGCATATTTGTCTTGTGGAACTGAAGTCATCCCTCCCACACACATACTTTGTAATAAAAAGTAAAGAAACACTTTTTTGTTTGTTTGTTTGTTTGTTTGTTTGTTTTTTTAACTGCAGAATCCATTCTACTTCTTTGTTTTATAAGGATTCTATTTATTTTTATTGCTCCTAAGTCACAGAAGTTAGTAGATAACAGTAAAAAGGCAACGTTTTGTATATCTTTCAAAATGCTGGGACTATCCACTCCAGCACAGAAAAAATTGGAAAATCCCTGAAGAAAATGGTGATAAAATTGATCTCTCAAAGGAGTGCAGAATTGTACAAACTTATATCAGGCATATTTGTCTTGTGGAACTGAAGTCATCCCTCCCACACACATACTTTGTAATAAAAAGTAAAGAAACACTTTTTTGTTTGTTTGTTTGTTTGTTTGTTTGTTTTTTTTAACTGCAGAATCCATTCTACTTCTTTGTTTTATAAGGATTCTATTTATTTTTATTGCTCCTAAGTCACAGAAGTTAGTAGATAACAGTAAAAAGGCAACGTTTTGTATATCTTTCAAAATGCTTGAAAAATGCTACATTTGGAATCAATGTAGTCTGGAATTACAAGGTTATCAGTACATCTAGAGACATGTATAAGTCTGAGTTTCTTACATGCATGAGCAACAGTGCTGTTAGCATGTAATGTTTCTCAGGGTTAATAACGGCAGAAGATAGAGTTAGTGCATTTTTGGGCATCTAATGCTCTGAGCCTCAGTCCAAAAGAAATTTATGCCTGATTGTTTGGAAAAAGACATTATAGAATTTCTCATTTGAAAAAAATTGCTCAATGAAAATTTGAAGATGCTATACCGCCTACACTTATTTTCTTCCACGATCCAGAAGTGAAGTCCAAAAAAGTTTGCAATTTATAAAGAAATTTAAGTCTTGCATTCATGTAGCATCTTAAATGATTCATATTCTACGTCTGGAAATCATTTTGTTGTTATTTTTGATATTAGAAAAGCATTGCAAAATTCTGTTTTAAAAGTTTAAGTAAACTAAATCACAGCATGCACATTTTAAAATGAAACAACAAAGTCTGTGATGCTTTTTCACTTCAAAAGTAATATATCAGAATATAGTATTACATGCCTACATGCTGTTGATAATGCTTTTCATTTGCCTAATCATGAGGTTTAATATACAAGAATAACATTGAAGTTACTTCATCTTAGAGGCAACAAGAATAAATACCTGGTTTTTTTCCTTTTTTTTTTTGTGTTTGTTTGTTGGAGTTTTTTTTGTGAAGCTATGTTAAGTTTTATAGTTATCCAGTTGCTTTGGACTAAAAATAGTTCTTAGTAGGTCAAGTGACTTTTCAAGCTAACCTCTCAGTAGACTTTAATCTGCATTACAAGCTAGAAATCTTTGAAGCTTATCATGTTTAAATTGCACAGCAAAGCCCAGAAAAGAAGTAAAACAAAAGGCAGGGGAGGGAGTCACAGCAGGGCAAGCAAATTCCAACCCAGTCAGTCACATTACATGGTTGGTCTTCTTGTATGTATTCGATTCTCCACATGCTAGTTTAACCTAAAGAATGACCAAAAACAACTGTTAAATAAAATGAACTAGTGGCAATAAGCAGACCAATGCTGCTAGGAACAGAAACCTAGGACAACACTGAGGTTAAATGCATCTTTGTTTATATAATATTTTGTTTAGTGTAATGACGCCTCTAAGTATTAGCCATATTTAAAATTGTTTCATTATCTTGATGTTACCTGTTCATTGCATTGCGCACGCTGTATGGAGGAAAGCATGTATTTAGGATTGCTCTTTTACTGGGGGAGAGATCCTGCTCCAGAGCACATGCAATCTAAAGGGACTGGGAACAGGAATAGCGTACATCCAGACGAAGCTAATTATCTACTTTATTATTGTCCTTTCAGTGAAGCCAGTGAGGTTAGGATAGTTTCGCCATGAAGAGGCGCTGTTAACTTGAAAATGACAAGCTAAAGCTTGCTACGCAGTTCTTCATTTTGGAGTGTAATTCCATTTACTAACTAAAGATGAACAGCTCAAACTAAATCAGTATTTTTACTCCTTTTCCCAGATGCATAAAATTGCTATGAAATCTCCCAACCTCCTGCCCACCGTGAAGCCAGTTGGAAAGAGCCACTTACCTGTATGTTGATCTGTTTGTCATAGAGCACTCTCTGCAGCTCCAGAAGGCTGCCCTTCAGCGTCCTGAGCTTCACAGCCAGCTGCTCTGCCTCGTCCTTGGTGTGAGCCTTCCCCTCCATAAGCAAGTTTTCGTTGTGCACAGACAACTCTGACAAGGCTACCACCTTCTGCTCTATTTCAACCAGCATGTTCTGCAGCAGCAAAAACAAAGAACCAAATTCATACATTTTCCAGCATCTGTCAGGCTTTCTGGCAAGACGACCTGTGGCCTACCTCACCCGTAGCCAAGCTAAGGGCAAGTCAGATTATCATTGGTTTGCTTTCCAGTCCCTCTCAGAGTCCTTTGGAATATGCTTGCAAATGTTTGCATTTGCCATTTCTGTTTGCAACCTTTTTCAAAATAGGAAATTAAAAAGTTATTTGAAACAAAGGATTTGTTGTAGAGGAGATGCTCTTTATTGCACATTAAAGGTAAGGGTGGCTAAGATGCTAGACTGACATCCATAATGACAAGAAACAGAGCATGCAGCTAGAGTTACTTCTTCCCTCTTCTTTCATGTACATTTAGTGAAACGCTTCCTACCTCCTCCTATGTGTTGCTTTGGCTGTGTTGATAAGCTTCTCTTCTCACTATTTGCTCTTTCTGATTGGTGCATGATGGACTTAAGGATTTCTGTATAATCCTCTTTAGTCTAAAGAGAGACTTAAAGTGACAAATCTCTGGCATGTTTATTCTCAAAAGCTACTTTCCTGACATTGCATTAACATTCATGTATTACAGACATAGTGCATATTTTGATCTTCCAAACTCAAAGCTCATACAATTCTTGCTCAAAAACCTAGCCTGACATCAAATGTTTTTGTTTCCAGAACAACCATCAAGTATAAACTTACAAATATTGCTCCCGAAGGAATGTGTGCAGGATAAGATAGGCAGAGTCTCTAGGAAGAGGAAAAAATATAGGACTTTACATAAAACTTACTGTATTAAGATTTTAAGAACCAGCAAAAGAACAGCAGTGTTACCTTCTCCACAAAGTTAACTGTTCCTTTTAATTTTGAGTTTCCGAGAGATTATATTAAAAAAATTACTGCTTTGTTTAAGTTCACAGGGTTTACCTATGAACAACAAACATCTCCCAAGGATGGGTGATGAAAGAACACTTGAGACTGAGCAGACTGAAAATTCCAATAATGAAGTGGTGCCGGTGGAAATTTAACTAGATGTTTAATTCATCGGACTTACATGAAACTTAACTCCCATTTACCCTAAAATAGTTGAGATCCTCATTCTTTAATATAAAAAGGGATCTTTTGTCCATCTGTCTTTTGTCTACCTTGTAATTTTAATTATAATGATCATACAGTTCTAAACTCTCATTTAAAAATGGAAAACTCCCACTAATTAGAGAAATGGGATATTATGACTGATCCAAGTCTTGTTAATAAAAGTATGCAATTACTCCTATTGCAGCAAAATGTTTTTCCTCAGTTGTTTTGGTATTGTGGGTTGATTAATATTAAATTCATAAAAATAGTAACTACTGATGATTATACTTATTTTTCAATGTGGGTCAGCATTACTCCTGAGGAAAACACAACACTGTCCCAGTCACCACTGCTAGTGGGAGTGTGTTCTTCAGCTGGAAAAGGAGTAGGAAAGTACACTGCAGGTGTTTTCATACCTTTCAAGTGAGCTGTGCAACAACTCTAGCTTGAGTGGAGGAAAAACAGCAAGTAAAGTGAATACAAGCCCTTTAAAGCAAAACAAAATGGCCTCTGAAAGTTGTAGAGCTTCACATGTTCTTGCAGTCAGGATATCTTGTTTTCCTACTGCTATGCTTACATGTGCTTTCTAAAGCACTGTTTGCAATCTTTAATAAGAAATTAAAAACAGGCTATGTTTTATTTCACAAATCATTGATGAAGCTAACTGAGCATATATGAGGTGCTAAGGAGTTCAGAAACTTCTTCCCCACTAATATGCTGGCTCATCCCACTCAATAATGGTCGTAACATTAATCTTCCATATTTTCCTCTTCATTCAGATAAAGCTATGTCCATCCTGTTCATCTGAACATTACAGGACTGATAATTTTACCTGACAGTCTACCAGCTGTGCTTCCATATCCATAGGTTCCTCAGCAGTAACCAGAGTGGTGTCCAGTGTGGCTCGGGTGTTGAGTAGCCAGTGGTCAAGCTCATCAGCTTCACAACGGTACCTTTGAAGAGCCTGCTCTTGCCGCTGTTCTTCCAGCTGCTCATTCAGTTTTTCCTGGAGGTACAAATTATATTTTACTTTTTAAAAGAAATACACCACAACAGTCACTTTTAAAAATTTTTCCCTCTCTGTCTCTCACAACTTCTAGATAGTATTTTTAAACCATGATAAGCCCTTTCTTTCATAAGTTGGCAACCTTTACAAAATATTATTGCTTTCAATCGATAAGCATGCTTTTCTGGTGACTGAAATTCTGTTTCAGTTCACTCACTGTATTTCTACTTCCTTCAGTAGATCTCTGCTATTACAGCCTTCTAAAGGTGAGGTCTTTTCTGCCTCCTCTTGCTGCTCTCCTTTGGGTTTCCCCCACATTGATTCAGTTTGCTCAACTCGCACAGCACTGTTTGCTTATGGAGAAAGATGTATGGGGATACAGAGCTGGGAGTGGGCTGCAGGGAAGGAGAGCAGCTTTGCCTTTTTTGGCAGCAGCAGGCTGTTAGATAGCCTTATTGTCTCTCAAGAGAGGCACAAGAGGAGTACTTCAAGGGCCCAACAGAGTACTGGTGGGCCTTTGGTGTAGCCACTGTGGGTAAAGAGAAGACTGAAGAGCTGTCTACCTTGTCTGGCCTCTCAGAGGATCCCTGTGCCGTGGGGTGTGGAAGGACATTGACCACAGGTTGTGGTGCCATCCAGATGGACCCTGGCAGGCTCAAGAAATGGGCTGACAGGAACCTCAAGAAGTTGAACAAAGGGAAGTGCAAAGTCCTGCACCTGGGGAGGAACAACCCCAGGCACCAGTATATGCTGGAGGCCGCCCAGCTGAAAAGCAGCTTGGCAGAAAAGGACCTGGGGGTCCTGGTGGACACCAAGTTGAACATGAGCCAGCAATGGGTCCTTGTGGCAAAGAAGGCTAATGGCATCCTGGGCTGCATGAGGAGGAGTGCTGGCTGCAGGCTGAGGGAGTTGATCCTTCCCCTCTACTTAACACTGGTGAGTCCGCACCTGGAGTACTGTGTCCAGTACTGGGCTCCCCAGTAGAAGAGAGATACAGAGCTCTAGAGAGAGCAAAGGGGATTTGGGGAGTAAGGAACGGATAGAATGGGGTGGTCAGAGGATACTTAGATGTATCAGATAATGTCGAACCTAAGCATGCTGCAAATGGTATGGAACAAGGGGAGAAGATTGTACTGGATCTAGCTGAGATGGAGTTAACTTCATCACAGCCTGTACAGTGCTATGCTTTGCAACTGTGGCTAAAACTGTGGTGATAACACAGCAATGTTTTGGCTACTGCTGAATAGTGCTTGCACAGCATTAAGGCTTTCTTTCCAACTATCCCTCACAAAGGCCAGTAGGCTGGGGGTGGGCAAAAGGTTGGGAGAGGACATAGCCAGGACAGCTGATCTGAACTGACCAAAGGGATATTCCCTACCATATGAGATCATGCTCAGCAATAAAAGCTCAGGGAAAGCAGGGGAAGGAGGGAGCATTTGTGGTTATGGCATTTGCCTTCCCAAGCAACTGTTACATATGCTGAGACCCTGCTTTCCAGGAAAGTGGCTAAACATCTGCCTACTGGTGGGGAAGTAGTGAATAAGTTCCTTACTTTGCTTGCATGCACAGCTTTTCCTTACCCTATCAAGCTGTCATTATCTCCATCCTGAGTCTTTCTGCCTGCCTTCTATTTTTTCCCCATCCCATGCGAGAGGGGTGTGAGGGTGGGTGTTTGGCTGCTGGCCTGGGTCAACCTACCACACTTCTGCAAGGAAATTCAGATCTGTATGTGCAGGGTAAATCAATCCCTCACACAGGGAAGAGTTTGCACAGTTTTTCTGAATGCTTATTTTTAATGGGAAAATTAGTAATTGCATATTAGAATAATTTAAAGAATAATGATAGTTTTTAAGTGTCTCAAATAATCCAGAGCTGAACAGTTCTCATGCTCTAGTTATTAAATTAGGTCCACAGAAAGAACAATATTACCAATCCACACCCTCAACAGCAAAATGTGTTCATTACCTGTTCTATCTGTATTTCTACATTTACATCCCTGCAGTGTTCTGGAAGATTTTATCTGTGAAATCAGGGCTATAAAGTGCACAAGTTAAATTATTGAATATTGTCTGTATACCATACATATTTCTTAGCCAGGATTATTTGCGGATACCTGTGCTATTGTATCAAAGTAACTGTCAGAATCCTAACCATAGTTAAGAGTAGTATATTTGACTCATGCTTTATCTTGCAATTATTAGTCAGCATCTCCTCCCAAGTACTATCAAGAAGTTTGTAAGATCCTGTATGGGGTGCAAGCTATAAAGAGTAAGATCCTTATTGTACTTCCAGCTCCTTATTTTTAGGTAAAAGACATTTTTCTTCTGAGAAGTAAAACTTTGTGCAATTTTTTAAGAATAACAAAGATATTTTCTAGGACCTGTTCACTGTCTCAGGTGACTGCACAGAAATAATGCAGCTGACGCAGCCTGGGACTCCTCTGTAACCCAGGTAGATCCACAGAACCAATTCTCACTCAGTCTTTCAGAATCGATTGATGCTGGAAATGATGAAGGCAGCAGCTGCTGTGTTTATGAATTCACTGCTGCAGTTCTTAGCAGTACAGCAGTAAAGCTGCCCCGCAGTGTTCAAAGTAGCCAAACCGTAGCCAGCTTTAGCGTGACTGCATTGTCTCACCTGTATAATATACACAGCAACATTCCTATATGTAAAGGACTTTTTTAAAATCGCCTTACTATTAAAGGATTTTTGGTAAAGCTGGTAGACAAGGAAATAAAGGGGTGCATCTTCCATGACAAAAGTTTGCATGCAAATCACTGGGAAGATGAGCGCAGACAACAATGCAATGGTTTGGAAGAGGTATTATTTCTGGTTTTAAGCTTTCCCCCTTCTCTTGTCTCCCAGTTGGGACAGGTGACTCCTCAAAAGTTTACAGCAGATAACATGATTTTTAATACCTGCATTTCATTACCTCCGTGGAGGACAAGGAATACCAAGGGAACCTAGTGAGAAAACATCAATGTGGATATTAAAAAAAAAAATAATATATATATATATATATATAAATAAAATATGACCCCTGCATTGTGTTTCCAAGTTCCTTCTGGTTACTTATCACCTAGCATTAAGATGAGGGGCTCACTGAAAATGAACAATAATTTATTAGTGAAAGGAATTGTGAGAAATGAGTAGAACTGAAAATGACTTTTTTGATTATCAGCATTCAATGGTGACTAAGGACTTTGTTAAAAGTACAGGTCTGCCAAAAGTGGCTCCCAAAGTCTGGAATGTGATCCAAAAGACCCACTCTTAGAGGTTTTTTCTTGTACCTCTAATAGTTGTCGTTTTCCTGATGCCTTCATTCGAATTGTGGCCATTCGCTCTGCCAAGACTGTGAGAGTGGATTGCAATGCCAGCTGATCAGCAGCTTCTGTATCCAGTGGTTCTGAAACCAGCTCCTGGGCTAATGATGTCTGAAGCTCAGTGATTTCTTCTTGTAACATTAAAATCTCATCCATCAAAGCCTATTTAGAAATAAGAGCAGAGAAAGTATTTGCTTCATTTATCAATGAGAAGAAAGTATCTCAGGAGGCATAACCTTAATATAAAATTCAAGATGACTGTCCCAAGGGAGTATGAGGAACACAGTAGCGCAATATATCACTGCTGGTTTGGTAGAGTCAGAATTCAGAAGGACTGAGTCCTGCTTTTAGATGCTTAAGCTAGGAGCAGGCATCTGATAACTGAAATACGGATTTAATTACTTATCTTTAATTTCAAACATATCACAAGAAGAAATTATTTTGGAAATATTATACATACAGATTTATTCTTCCAACAAATTTTCTGGAGGGTATTCTAGTAGAGACAGTGAAGATAATGAACAAGTAAATGAGTGTGTGTTTGTGAGAGAGAAATAAGGGCATGAGTTAGCTTCCAGTCTGAAACTTACTAACTGGACAAAGAGTATCCAGCAATATATGTAAACATGCAGAGATTAACTCCATGATGTAAAAGAAGTTCCTATTATCATTCTTATCCTATAAATCAGTTTCCAAGATACCTACAAAAGGGTGCTGCATTACCAATACCTTAGAGCAGATACTTTACTTTCATGTCTGATAGCATATACACATTGGATGCACAAGACATCACACAGTGCTACAAAAGCCAAACGTTATCCTTTTCAGGTCATGGAGTTCCTACTGAAATGAGAACTGGCCCCACCAGATAGTTTCAAGCTATCAGATAGAAGGCTTAGATGACTACAACTTGAACATATGTTGGACTGGTTACGTGATAAAGTATTTTCTTATTATTCAGAGCATCATTTCTCAAGATTTCCCTTGGGAGGGAATTTTTTGTGTGATTTGGTTTGTTAGTTTTGTTTAACAAGGCAAAGATTTTATTTAGATCAATTTACAATGCATCAGTATTGGTTATGTTCTTAGTAAATTTGGGGACATTATAAATAGTCCAATATATGCTAGTAGCACTGATGCTGAAGAACAGTATGTGCTGGTGTCACTGAACACAATCTTTGACAAAAGATTTTGCTGAAAATTTCAACTGGACAAACTCTTATGATCTATTCTACTTTTTTAAAGGGCTCCTTATAAAAAGAATACCCATTACACCATCTTTAGAACAGTGGGAAGTCCAGAAAAGCAAGACATACAGTCAACAGAGAAGGTTCATACAACTAAAGCATGTTTTTGAGGCATCCAGTCATGAAGAATGCCACTATCTAAAAAAAGGGAACTAAAGATATACAGATAATACATGCTCTCCCTCTATTTTTCACATGTAAGTTTTTACCTGATGTTCAGCCATCTGGCTCTCCGGGCTTTTGGCTGGTTCCAGACTCTCATTTAGTTTGATCTCAGTGGTCTCCATTTTTGTGGATATAGACTGGAGCGTGTCCTGATATTTCTGTTGACGCTCAAGAGCTTCATAGAGGGTGCGCTGCTTTTCACTGATCTGAAGAGGAATGGAAGGTATAAATTCTGACCTCTGACACAGGATTTGCTCTTTCTTCTGCTTCATACATCCCTAGACTTATGAGACTAAACCCAAAAACTTACAAGTTATGAAAAGTATAAATTATAAAGCAAAATATCCATATCAAAAATATTTATCTGTTTAAACATCATCAGTAAAATCCTAGGTTCTGTGACTGAAAAAAATGGACTTAATAAGCAGGGAAAACCTAAGCACAGTCTCATGCCTTATTTTTGATATTATGCACTCAAACATTTGGATGTGCACAATTTACTAGACGCATAGCTCTTAATACCCCATAACAGCTACCGTGCCTCTGCAAAGAATTAAAACTTATAGCATGTGATCAAAACTTTGACCATTTTCATACATCACTGAGTGATTATGCTGCACTAATATGTAGAAGTGTGTTAAGTTGACTCAGTATTTGGAGAAACTGGATTCTTGGGCCTTTTTTGCCAACTCATCCAGCAAGAGTGGATTTCCCTGTTAGGTTGTGGAGTATTGTCTGACAATAGCCAATATTTCTGAAGGCAACTATCAACCTTAATGATTTTTAATTTTTCTTAATGGAGGTCCATCCTGCACAGGCTTTCAAACAAAGAACAAAGCCAGTGTAATATATCACAACTAAAAATTCTTGTTACCACCTGAAAACCAAGAGAACAATATTAGCTGAGCCAGTTCTTTGCATTTTAATCCTCACAAGCTAGCTGATTATTTTGAGCCCTCCAGATGAAGACTTACCACATTTTTCAGCGTTTCCCAAGAACGTTGCAAATCATCCAATTTGGCACTAGCAGCTGATTCCAAGCCTGGTTCATAAAACTCCTGAATGGCTGAAGTGCTGGGTTGAATTTTAGCAGCTTCTGTCTGCAACTGTTCAGCAGATAAGGCCAACTGTTCAGCAGATAAGGCTTGGTAATAAGCAATGTCCTACAAGCACAAAGCACATTATTACACCTTCAAAACGCAAGATACTGCATAAGAATATCCCCCCACATACTGCCCCATTGCATATGTCCATTAAAAGAAAACCCACAAAGCCAAAACCACCAGGAAACCTCTGAGCAACACAGTAAATAAATATTTAATAATAGTACACTGAGTATGGTTTGGAGCTTCACTATGATGAAGATTGTGGATGCATTTTTTTCATGTTCATATTAGCTAGGAGGCACAGGAGGCAACTGTGGATACACATGGAAAGCCTGGGAGGGGAGTGCTACAAGTGGGAGTGCTGTTCTAGCATCATCACAACTACACATGGGGAAAACCCATCACAACAGACAGTGGATTACGGTGCTGTAGGTGGCACAGAGTATCAACCTAATGAACACTAGCACAGAGAAGGCAACAGAAGAACCAAAAAGGAATATGCTGAAGGACTAGTCAATGATCTAAGAAAGAGTATGAAGCACTAGCTTATAGTAAGCCTTCAAACAAACAGGTACTCTCAACTAACTTACAAAATATAGTGGGAAAAGGGACCAAAAGTGCTGAGGAAAATGGGCAAGTGTTCAAATTACCATTGAAAATTCAGGGTGGAAATGTTTCTCACTAGAACTTCTATACTTAATATATGGGGACTTCTTCAACTATTGCAGGTGAGAATTAAAAAGATCTACAGAAAACGTAAAATTAAGGAAACATGCACAGTATCTATATTTAAGTCAGGAAAGCAGACTTGATGACAAGGATTATTTCAAACTGAAACCATGTATGACAGTTACCACCACATCTATTTGGAAGGTGAAAAATGCTGCAACCTTCCTTCTCACTTAGTCCCACATAGTAAACTGTGCTCCAGACCATGCAACACAGCAGCTGTTGTCCAGTTTCTTCAATCATTTTGAATTTGTAAATGGCCCTGGTGAAAACTTTAAGGCACAATTTTGCTTCCAGTGAAATCAGTAAGAGATTTTCCACTGATTTCTGTTAGGTTGGACCAAACCTCCTTTCAGGCAGCTCTCAAGAGTTATCACAATATTTGCATAAAAAGTTGCTCAAAATCTACTGAAAAGTGTACTTGGAAAATCCTCCTCCAATGATTGCAAATTTCTCAGATTAATTCTTTCCTGACCCTGTACAATGGGGAGGAAAATTCAGCATGTTGAGCCATGTGTCTGAGAGAAAACTAAGTGCTTTTCACCTGACAGTTTACAGAGCTGTGTCTACCAAACAGACCACAGACCATTTGCTGTCCTGAAAATGTAAGAGTATAAATGTGTATAAATACCTGAAGGGAGGGTGCAAAGAAAACAGAGCCAGGCTCTTTCCAGTAGTGCCCAGTGACAGCACCAGAGGCAATGGGCACAAACTGAAACACAGGAAGTTCCCTCTGAACATCAGGAAAGACTTTTCTGCTGTGAGGGTGACTGAGCACTGGGACAGCTTGCCCGGGGAGGTCGTTGACTTCTCCATCTTTGGAGATATTCAAAAGCCACCCGGACATGGTCCTGGACAACTGGCTGTAGGTGGCCCCACTTGGGAAGGGGGTTGGACCAGGTGACCTCCAGAGGTCCCTTCCAACCTCAACCATTCTCCAATTCTGCATAGGTATATAAAAGTTAGGTACTAAACAAGGCTACTTCTGAGGTACCAGAGCTCAGAGTATAATTAGGATCCTAATTTGGAGCAGAATCTTTATTTCGCAATGTCATTTCAATATGTTATCTAATACCATATGTGAACAAAACCAAACAAGCTCTGGAAGAGCATTGAAACCAGGTCACTCCCCGGGCACAGTCACCTCTTAGGCTCTCTTTCTAACCAAACCTAGGGAGCACAGAATGCCCACCTGTCCCAGAAAACACCCCATCACCCAGCAGCTGCACAGATATGGTTCTTCAGTACTTCCCCCAAGAATGAAGAGACTTAGGTTATCTGCTTGGTGTACGGACATTTTAACAATTAAGGTGCTACTCACAGACCACCACCAATATTTTTAAAGGGAGGCAGTAGCTAAGAATGTATTTTACAGACAGCTTGATCACACATCTTTACTGAGGATGCCTGAAAAAGTCAGTCTCTCCAGAGAAACAGAAGACTGAAGAATGGACAGCACATCAAACTGTCCAAAAGTGTCAGATGAGGTACTTCTGCAAAGGCAATAATTGGAAAACTTGAAAAATTTAATGATGAAAGTGTTTACAATGTCCAAGAGCTGACAAGGAATAGGTAACAGCTTAGCACACCATTCAGTACTGCAGTTTCAGAAATTTTTACTCTGACCACAAGTGATTTTGCTAAGTCACAGTGAAAAATTGCACCAGTGCAGGCAACTTCTCATTTTGCCTTGTCTGAAGCTACTCTCCAGCCCTCAGCTAGTCCTCTCTCAAGGCCAAGAGAAAAGCTGTGCTTCTGAGACTTCTTAATCATCATTTCCGGATTAAAGTCCTTGCTTTTAAAAGAGGGGAAAGCAATCCCTTTCCCCATCTTTCCAACTACTTTTTGGAGTAAACAACATGACAGTTTCTTTTTGGTAGGGCTTTAATGCTGATAGTGTCAATCCAGATGTTCTTACACGTAACAGATTTTGTTCCCCCTATAAAGGCCCTAATGTCTCACGCCCTCTTTTACAAAAATTAGCCAATGGAAAGTACTCAAGCTTTGTTGTTAGGATGTAGGGGCAAAGGGTGTGTTTAGATTTCAAAAGGTATTTAATAAGGGCTGTTGCGCCCTCGATGAGTTTTCATAAGGAAGGAGAGAGAATGATTAAGCAGGTTGTGAACAAGGGGATAGAGAGACGTTTAACAGTGACCCAGTGCTGAAGACTTGAATCACAGGATCAGCTATGACCTCCAAGGCTTTGTGTCAACACTTCAGCTTTTTCAATTCAATTGCTCTGCATTATGCACCTGGAAAATAAGTTTTAAAAGAATGTGCTAAATTTTAATCAACTATATATCCAGGTAAGCATGAGAAGTTTTAGCCCCAGAGGATTCTCAGTCAGTACTGCAGCAGAGATGAAGTGCCTGATTTTGCTATATATCAAAATAAATTGCATTAAAGGACTGTTATCTATTGCTGAAATATTATACATTGTGAAATCCCTCAGACTTTTAAAAGTTAACATTTTTGTAGTTGTTCCTCCCTGCCCCATTGTTTTTAGAGGAGCTTCAGTACAAAACAAACAACCTGGGCAACCGTTAACTTACAGAAGTGCTAGATCTGTCACTTTCTTGTATTTATGGTCTTGGTTTAATCTATTTCAATACATAGAACCAATATTTCCACTAACAGGCACTTGGCGTTTGTTTTAAATTTTCATTACTTGATAGCAATGTAAAAATAGTGCATAGATGCCTCAGTTCAGACTAGCCACATTTCACCATTAAGAGATGCTAGGAAACCCTGATGAAAGACTGTACACAGATTATTAGGGATGAATTTAAAAACAGTCTTAACACCCAACCTTCCCTCCCCAAAACACCCCACTTCGTTCAAGTGTTAAACTTTTTTCCAAAGACTAGATTAATATAATTCTTTGCTTTCCTGTTCACATGTTTTTTCTGGTACTTTGCAGGTGATCTTCCTGTGAGAAATTGTTTCTCTCAACACTGGCTACTTTTTTAAAACAAAACATTTCCAAATTAGTTTTGCTGAGTCTTTTACTGACTACAAAATATTTTTAACTTACATTTAAGGTTCTAATTCACTATTCTCTAGATTTTTTTTTTTTTAACCAACCTTTTTTCCTGAAGTCTCCCTGGGCATTCAACATGATCAGCACCGGCAGTTTCATAGCTTCTTTAGTTTTAATCTCATGTGAGCGTGAACCTAAGCATTTTGTAAGTAAACCACTGCATTTTGGAATGTTCTTCCGCTTGTTGTTTAGTACGTGCAGTTCATTTCAACATTAACCACACTGAAGAAACCTTCATCTGTCAGTTTTTTAGATTATTATAACTCCAGCGCTTTTATCTCTTTCAAAGATCTGCTAAATGAAGGACGTCATTGTTTTGCTCAATTTTGCCCTGTAAATCACAGGTTCTAAAACTTGCATTTTGGTATCAGCTCATGGTGCAACAGTATCTTCACTGGATTTTCCTTATTTGAGTTATTGGAGCTCTTAATCTGTTTTTTTCATTTTCAGAGAAATGTAATTAACTGACACTGAATTTGTTTATTAGAAAGCAAGCTGCTCTTGCTCATTTTACTCCTTCACTGATTAACCCTGTCATAAGATTTTTCTGCTGAAATATATAGCTGCCTTTCTACTGTAAGTAAACTTTACTGGGAAATTTCTGATTATCTGAAATGACAAAGCACTAGAAAAATCCTTCTCATCCATTATATAACGTTTTTATTATGAAGGTAACTTTATAACTTTATTATTACAAAGATTTTGTCACCATTCTTACTATCTTACCTTAGTATTCTTTCTTACGTCAGTTCATGAAAACAAATCATTTATATTTAGCAACTTTTATAGCACCACATGCATCTTTGAAATGAGTGGAAGGAATTAGTGGGCAACTTGCTCAAGCTTCTCTGTTTGTACCCAGCAAGGCAACACAACATGATTCTATCCTTTAAGTCTACAGTGGTCAATTTTGGAAGCAGCCATAAATGAAAAAACAAACAAATGACCATAAAAGCCACAACATGATGAATGCAGTGACATGGTGACTGCTTCTAGGGCTCATTTCTGAACTTCTAAAGCATAACATTTTATGTGTGTCTTCATGTGTGTGATGCTCAATGAGCTGGTTCATTGAAGCTCACATTTTAATCAATGCTGATGTACGCGTGTTCCTATTAGAAGTGCCAGAGTCCTCAGTTTTGATTTAAAATCTAACTTTAGCGGTTTCACTGATCTGCCTCATTAGCACTTAAAACAGACTGTCACTGAAAGAATGAAATGAACAATACATGAAAAAATACATGAAAGTTAATACTTGAAATGGTTTGAAGTGGAAGACAGCAGACTGTGGCTTCAGTGCTAAAACACCAGTGGTACTGTAAGATAGATGTATATGGACATAATGCAATGTTTTATTATGGGCAGTACAAAATTGCGTTTTTTTCTCAGGATGCAAGATTCCATTGAATACTACTGTGAAAATAAAAATTAAGTTGTAAATACAAAACAGTAGTGCCGTGGAAGGGCTTTGTAATTGTCACTTAAAATTTGTTTTTAAAAATAGTGAATAGCTGTAACATCAAATGTATACGTTTTAAGCTCAGAATATTTGTATTCATTTTGGACTAGAACCTGAAGGTTCAGTTAGGTCAGAGGTTAAGCCTCAGATCCTTGGAGCTATAGGTAAATATTATTTCAGAGGATTAAATAAACCACCTGTGGAATGGAACCATGCTTGTCTCTGAGATAAAAGCTGAATGAATGCCAAGAGGGAGGTACCTGGTTAACAGAAGCATCTGTATTAGCCACAGGTGAGGGAGAGCGACAGGCAGGTGGAGAAGAAATCTCACTGTTGGTTCCCTCCTCCCCAGACTCCTCAGTGACAGGGGAGAGCAGCGTGTGACAGCGACCAGCAGTCATCTGCCACAGGAAAAGCAACCCCAGAGCACAGGAAGAAAAACAGTTACCTCAATTTAGGTTTGACTTAGATTGAGATCAAAAAAAGAAAAACAACACGTGGGCAGAATTACCATGACATTATTTAGGCATACTTAACACTATTACATTTACCAGCTTAAAAATCTGGTTCAATTAATAGTCTCATTTACTTGTCATACTTCAGTATGAACATGCTCTCCTGTACCTTAATGAATTTAAAAGAAAATGTACAGCAAGCAACTCAGTAATAACAAATTAGGGTTTGCCTAATGTCTTCTAATACAATCACTGCTGCATATGGAAATACTATGGAGAGCTACAGAATAATGCAGTATTGGCCTCAGTATCCAGGCCTGGTTAGAATGTTAGAACAACAAGGAATAGACTTAAAACATAAAATATACAGAATATAGTAGCAACATATTTTTCTTGCTTCCCCCCATACAGTGATAAATCCTGAAATCTGCATTCTATTTTCACTCAGACAAAAATCCCAATAGCATCAGCAGTATGTTTGTAATGAGACCCAATTAGAAACAAACAAAAGCAGCGTAATTCGAACATGAGGCCTATGGCAGTACTTAGCCAGCTTTCATTTCCAACACACTCATCTGAGAATATAGCAGCATACTGTCAATTATCACATTGACATTTTAAGACAAGAGCTTTAAAAATATGGCATGTAAAACCTATACACTGCAACATGTTGTGAAATAATATTTATTCTGGTTGTATCTTATTCCTGCAATTCAGTAGTTTCTTAGCATTTGCTTTTGCATGCTGACAGCTACGAAAGAGCACTGTATTTGCATCTTATCACAGACAACTTCCACTGGTTTTGTCTGTTAAGTAACTTCATCCTTTATCAACAAGTCTTGAAAACCCATATAAAGCAAAATACAGCAAGGGGAAGCTGCAGCTTGTTTGGTTTGCCACACTTCAGCTATTTCAAAAGCAAAATGTAGATGTGAGCTGCGGCAATTTGCTACACAGGAGTGTTGCAATGATGCAAAAGCAAGCAGCTCAGATAAACAGTACTGAGAGCAATGCATTCCTTACCATAACCACCGAGGGATGAGCAGGGTGTGTTGGGAGCAGGTCTGAATCCAGTTCCTCCATTCCCTCTGAAAGCCCCTCCACTTCTGTCACTGTCAGCAGCATGGTGGCATGTTTCGCTTTCATTGTCAGCATCTTGCACTTCGAATTCAAAGAAGCAATTTGCTCCTGGTATCCTTTGATCTTCTGAGCCAGCTCCTGAGGAAACATTTTTTTTTCCCTAATGCAGAGGCAGCCAATAAAGGCCACAGGACCTGCAGCATTTCAGCTTCCGCGGCGAAGGCAAGCTCTCCCCTCCAAGCCCAGCCAATAACATCCTAGCGCTGCCTCTCAGAAACCCCGCATAAGCCGCCGCACCAGCTGACACGCAGGATGTTGACAGTGGAGGGAACAAGTCAGGCTGCGTCTGGCTGCCCAGCTAAACCGCAGAGCCGAGAGCTTTGAAGCGAAACCGGAAAAGTGCCGCGAAAGGCTCTGTGTGCATGCTAACTGCACAAGGAAGGGAGGAACGCCTCACGTTTGCATCCAGCCTGAGCCTGACACGAAGTCTATAAGCTTCAGACTGCAGCAAAGGGGAACATCTCTCCCTCTTCCTGTCCTATTTTTTCCCCTGTTCTATTTCCATTTATCTGAGGAAGATGAAGCTTCTCCACATAGTGCACGCCACGGAAATGAGGTCATGTGGTAACCGCAACTGTAAAAAATGCCCCATTCAGCTCTCGCCAGATAGAATGAATTGTTCAAACAATAACACACAGGGTTTAACAAGATCAAATGTGATATGAACAATCAGTCACATCATAAGATTAAATGCAGACTGGATCGCTTTCTGCCAGTGTTTGGATAAGCTATATTTTAATCTTGTTTCGGTTTTGTGTAAGTCTTCAGAATTAAAAGCAGAGCTGCACACACTACTAACCTTTCTTTAAAAAGAGCTGGGGAATCTGGCCTAAAGCAGAGTATATTTTAAAATACTGGGTTTTATGGCTATGAAATGGTCTATCTGCATGGCCAAACACCACCATAAGTTTAAGTTTAGTGAGAGAAGAAAGATGGAAATGAATAGCCTTAGAAACTAACTTGTCTTCTCTCCTGCCCTGTATTGCTGCCCAGTTCAGTGTCCAGGTTCAAAGATTTCAATTAATATACTTAAAATTAAAAAATGGTGAAAGATTTGCACATTTCTGCCAAAGCTATTGTTCCTGTCTCCCTAGAGGCTCAGTAACAGAATAGAATTTTGATCTATGAAGTGAAAACAACATTTGTATAAGCTTGCCTGCTAAATCAGTGATTATTCATTCAAATGTGTTTCTGCTTTATTTTTATATCTGCTTTTATTTCTTCAACAAACGTAAGTTGTCAAGGAAAAATAGCAACAGAAGTTGCAAGATCTAGTAGGCATAATAACAAATAATTACAATATATTTTAAAAAGTAAATAAGATTACTGCTTCAGGCTGGTAAAATTTAAAGGTTTTTTTTGGTTGTATAACATTTTCAGGAAACCATTTTCTCAAAATCACAGTGCAGAACAGTCATAGTGAGCAATACAGAGTTAGAAATGGAAGCCTCTCAATGACTGAGGATGACACTTTACTGCCTGGGTTTCGATGGTAACTAGTCACTGTCTGTCACGTTAGCAACAAAAGGAGCTCTCTTGGAGCTCCAAGGCTTACCTTGGAGACTAAGCAATGTCTTGAGTATAAAACATCAACTAGATCAACTGAAAGCCAAACTACAATCAAATCAAGCCATAACTTTAATGTCTAGCAGCTGGAATAGTTATCTGCTCTGTTTGGCAAGTACGAGTCATTCACTAATGCTCAGTGAATGACATCTCTGGGGCTCAGTGGGAAATTATTGTCATTCAATATACTCACTTAACTCTATCAATATTATCGAGATGCAATAACATTTGTGGCATTAATGTCCAATTCACTGAGTACCTAACATACCTCCCTCGACAGAAAACAAAGAAAAGGAAAAGGAGGCAAAAATGTGATTGTGAAAAAAATAAAGTAACTTATAAAAGCAATGTCCTATGAGGTACTGTATTATCCATTAAAATAATTCACAAGTATGGAGATATTTGCCCACATTCTTATCTGAAAGTCTAAAGAAACAGGGTTCAGTAAACATAGTTCCAGAGCGTAACTAGTAACATACATGCATAGTAATACAAGCTTCCTACGAATCAGGGTGTACTTTCCTTCTACTTTCCTCCCCTTATTTTAATTCTAAATATACCTACTACAAATGCCCCTTTAAGTTCTTCTTCATGCAGGCTTCAACAGGGAATCCTGTAACTGATGTTTTCTTAATAACACACGTAACATGCATCTTGACAGACTTGCCTTTTGAGGTAGTATAATAATACAGGGTTCAGTGTATCCCCTTTATGCTATGCTTTTCCAGAGGTATTTAGCAGACAAAATATGAGCCAAAAATGTGCATATATCAGCCTGTCAAAACTTTTTACCCCTAAACGTGGAAAGCTTGCAAGTATGAAACCTGTCCGCTCTGGTTGTGCCCAACATGTGTAATAGAGTAAAGCTGCTCTCTTCCTGCAGATGCTTAGAAGGACTCCTAGCTACTGAGCTTGTTCAAATGCAGATGAAACTCCAAGCTGCCTCATTTTTAATTCCTTCTTCCCTGCAGCATCATTCCTTTCTCTATCACCCTGTATCACTGAAGTCACTCTCCTGCATTTGCTGTTCCAGAACATTTGAATAGAGAATAGTAACATTTTTAATTCATTACTAAAAAACCAGAAGTATTTGCTTAAGCAAACTGCTCTGCATTTATATTAAGTAACTTTTGTGACAACTGGATAGAAAATGAGCAACACATATAACATTACATTGTATTACATAATACCAGATAGCTTTTAATTCAAAGGTAAAGAAATGGTGCCATCTGGTGCCGAAAGTGACACACAGAGTTCAACGGTGCATTTTCCATCCCAAGAAATACACAACAGACAGAGGAAGGGGAAAGGGGCTCAGGAGCTCCCATGCCAGCACAGCGAGAAGGCTGCACAGAGAGTATCCCGACTCATCTGAGGCCTGAAGATCAATGAGTTTGAGGGCAAGACCTGTAATGCCACACCACAAAACTCTTCCCAACAATGACTTTAAAAGAAGCCTCTGGAGTGAACACTGCAGTCTTCCTCCAAATCTACTGTGGCTTTCATGTGATTCAAGTCCCTTGATGTTCTTCTACAGAACATTACTGGGATGGAAATGAGTAAGTACTTTAGGAGATAGATAGATAGATATACACAGGTACATGTATATATAAAAGGATCACTGAACTAGCAGTGATCATCTGACTAACTGCTCAACATTGACTTCTGGGACACTCCTCAGTCAAGTACCTATGTTAACTGTCCGTTACTTATGCAATGCTATCGTTTGCCATAATGTTGCCTGGAGATTAGGACACATCTAACTGAATAAACAAATAAATACTCCACACTGTACCAACAACATGAGTTTCCTACCTGGTTTTAAGCCTATCTGCTCAACTAGCCTTGAGCAAGTCTGAAAAGCTACTCAACTATTTTATGACTGTTGCTTATTAAATTTTTTTTTTTTTCAGTGAACTGCCATTGAGCTCATGTTGTTGCATTTTGCCTCTCCTACCTCATGATGCGAAATCTGGACCTGGAGTTCCTGGATATTGCTGGTTGCTATTGGCTTGTCTTGGATCTCACGATGGGCACTCTCTATCATTTGCTGTAAATGTTTCATTTCTTGCTCATATTGCTCATACTGAACCACTGCTTCCTAGAGAGGGAAAAAAAATATTAAGTGTCTACATGAAAATAAGTATTTGCTTAGTTGAAGCATACCTGATCTCCCTTCTGAAGTGGAGCAAACTTAGGCATGTGCATCTGGATAAGCAAAGCAGGAATATAGTCAGGAAGAAGTCCATTCAGAAATATTGTGAACTGTAATTAATTCCACGGTTTCATTTATTTAACTATTTCCAAAAACCAGTTCACATAACATGATGTTGTAGATATCCAATATAAGGAGCTAGGACTTCTGCTTCCAACAAGTATCTGCACCAAACATATCCACCAAAAGATAGCATTGCCTAGTCTCATGGTTTTACTATAAAGCATTTTCATCGACTTTTTTACTTCAAGCCTCAATTTATGAAGTGGAAAGACTACATGAAAAAGTGAGATTTTACAGAAAATACAACTGGGAGAGGATTATGAAGATTGAGTGGTATCAGTGATATCAGTTCTTTCTATCATAGATTCACCAGAAGTTTGTCTAACCTGTTTTTAAAAGTCTTCTGTGTGACATTGTATCCTTCCTTGTACCTAAGTATTATTAAGTATCCTTAAAGATTGAAAGTCTCTTCTGCTATCTAACTTGAAGCTCTGTAGTTGTACCCTAGCTCACTATGTATTTTTCTATCACTAGAGAGCAGGAAAGAAAAACTTATTCTCTTCTTCTTTGGAAATACCTTTTACATGTTTAGGTATGAATTCAAACAATCAAAGAAAACCTAGTTTTCTTGTATTTGGCAAAACTTGAAAATGCAAATTTAATAGATGCTGAATGACTCCAAAATCAGAAAGTAAATATATATAAATTTTAAATAAAGAGAAAAAAATTATTTTTATCCTAGATAGTTATTTAACTCAATAGTTTTTATGCAATCATTATAAGCAGCTGATGTTATAATGATATATTAATTTCATTAACCAATTATATATACACTATAAAATTAACCTGCATACAATTGTATATTAGCTATTCGTCTAGTTAATCCTAACAGCATTACAAATATCAAGGAGAGAACAGAAATGAGAGTCTGATGAGTAAATCAACACGATCATGAATGTTGAAACCCCCCAAAACACAGAGTCAGAAATTACTAAAACAGTGGGGAACTTCCTAACGGTACTACACGGAAAAGAGGAACGAACAGAGATATAAAATTCTCTGTTTTCATCACAATTTGTCTGGCACTGTTCAAGTTACTCAGAGTAATTTATGGGAGGGAGTTGCACTTGCCTGCATGATGTTGCACTGCTGAATGGCAGTGTGCTGCAGGCGGCTGGCCTCCTCCTGGAGGCGGAGGGCACTGTGGCACATTGGCAGGCCGGTGACCACCTCTTCAGGAATCCTCAGGGCACTCTGACAGACTTGTACTGCGTGAACTTTTGGCTTCAGTGACTCCATTTCAGACAATAGATGCTAGGAAGAAAGTCAGTGCCACAATAAGCCAGTTTTGCAGAACTCCCAGAGCATTTCATGCAGCAAAAGAAAAATAATGATGAGTTCAAGCACTAAAACAAACAAATTTGATTATCTGTTTTCTAAATTGAATATAATCAGGACATGCTTTCTCTGGAGTTGCTTGTTCTGAAATGTGCATTCTTTTAAATATTAGTTAAGCAAAAAGCCCATATAATAAAAATAAAAATAATTAATGAAAAAGCATAGTAGTACCTATTTCTAAGTGTCTAAGTACAAAAATATTTCTGTTAACATATTTGAAAAAAAAAATCTTTACAAAATCCACAAATCAAAGCAGCATAGGAGTCATTTATGTATACACATATTTTAATGTTAAAATCCGAGTGGAACTCCCTGCTGAGACACAGAAGCACATTTTCAAACCAGCGAATGAATCCCATTGTATTCACAGCCTTCCTTTGAAAATACAAACCATGGCTGAAAATGTTGCTTAAAATTCAAAAGGCAATCAAACAGAAAGAAACACAGCTATACAGAAATCTTTTCCTTTGAATAATCATTTGCTGGATGCCTTTGTTAATAGTCTCTATTCTGTTCACAATGTCCATTCAAGCTGTCTGTTCATATGCATGAGAAGGGTCTAAGTGCAATGACTGGAGAATATATTGGATCAGCATTCTTTTTATCTTCATTGGGGAGTTTAATGTATTCACAGACAGAAAAAGAAAAACAAAAAAAAAGAAAAAGGCAAAGTTGATGAGAAGGGCGTTAGCACATTAGAAAAAGATTTTAAGTTCAATAGATGTAAATCAGCTAGACAATGTATGTGGCAAACAGGGAAAAAGGGACTGGTCCTCTCCCTTCTCCTATACCATATGCAGAAAGATAGCTAAGTGGGTCTGAAGTGCATACCGATGAGAAGACTGTGGTTTGCTCTTTATTTCTGTGCCTTCATGACATATGGTGGATAATCTAACCAGAGATTTGGTATAATAACTTATTTCTTGGACATCACTGGTGAGGCCTCTTCTCTAGCAGGCCCCATACTGCTGGCAAAGGGTGCCTTTATTGTGCAGTCAGCACCCAGAGGCACCCTGGGGGCTGCATGCCAGCCAGGCACTCTCCAAGACCCCCTTTCTGGTCTGGTGAAACAGGTGGGCAGGGGCTACAGCCCCTTTCTGTACAAAAGAAAGTAATACTGTGAGACCTGCTAGAGCCAGGACAAAGAATACACATAAACAACAGTGTAAGCTCCATATTCCTTTACTCTTACAGTGGGTGACATGTTTCACTTACACACTTCAGTGCCACATTCTGAAATTTGGCTGCAAGTCCCTAGAATAAAGACTGCCTATTTTAATCAAAAGGGAAAGCTCTGCAAATTTGCCTGTCATCCATATTTTTTTCTACACATGAAACTGAATTTTCTCTTAGCTTTCCAGCTGATTACTGGGGGAGCTAGCAATGCACTATCTCATTGCATCTCTATCTGTAAAATGGTGATAACGATCTAGACTTCCTTTTGAAGTACTTCAAGAACTTGTTGATGAAAATCACTAGATAAAAACTGAGCTTTATTATTATTATTATTATTAATATGGATTAAACTTGGATTGGATGAACATTTCTCAGAATTGCATCATGCTAAGAACAGACTCATAAAGGATTATACTTCAACCATTCCCTTTGAGGGCATGATTTTTCCCATTCCATCCCTTATTTCCTTGGCAGTAATTTGGTGATAGACCCTGAAACAATGACCCACCTAAGAAACACCACAATCGGTCTCACCAACATTCATTATTCTTTGCGTAAGCTCACACTACTCAAGTGCTAACTTGGAGGTCCTGGCCTTTTACCTGTCTGTGAGAAAGTTGCTCTTTCAGGCTCAAATGCCCAAGCTCCGGAGGGGTCAGTGTGGCTTGGGCTTGCTCCAGAGCAGCCTGCAGGGCTCTCAACTCAACTTCAAATTTCTTCATGTCCTGTAACACAACACATTTGATTCAGGGATAAATAAGAAAGAAAAGAAAAAATTTCACTATAAATATATGTCTGGATTTTGTAGCTACGTCTCTTGTATACAGCGCCAAAACTAATTCATAGTTTTAACAAAGAATTTCAAATGTTTAAAATATTGGATAAAAATACCAGTCATATGACAACCTAGAAAAAGAGATCTCAAAGTCAGAGTTATTATTTTAACTACTTCCTCAATCTCAAATACAGCATGTACTTTATAAAGCTAATTTCATAAAGTTCAAGGCCTAGAAAGGAACTCAAGATGTCCTCTAGTCACCTTCCTGTAATAAGGCAGGACATAACTGTCTTGTCTTTACAGACTGTTCTTAAAGACCACTAGCAGTGGAGTCCGACTTATCTCTACAGACAACAGATTCCACTGTTTCAGTACTCTTCTTTTGTAGAAAGTTTTTTCTGATGGTCTGACACAAAGTTATCTTTTGTTGCAATTTCAGTCTTCTACTTACTATCCCATTAACAAGACATGAAGAACAAATTATTTTTATTCTCTCTGAATACATCATATGTTAGGATAATCTTTTTCATGAATCTTTTCTATAAATTTATACACCTATCACAATCATCACTATCCTCTGTTCTTTCTCCAGTCGGTCCACATCTTTCTGGAAGTGCAAAACTGGACACTGCTGAAATCTCACTAGTGACCAACAGGTAGAACAAAAGGACTACTTCACATACCTTACAATTATGTACTTTATTTTCTGCGTGATGTTTGTATTTTTTACAACAATGTGACATTGTTCACTCATTTGTCCATGATCCACATTATTAAACTTAAGAACTTTCAACAGGGTGCCTCAAACCAGCAGTTCCTCATTCAGATATACACATGCCTGGTTCTTCCTGTCTAAACGTAACAATTTGCCCCTGTCCCTGTTGAATAGCAGCCTAATTTTTTTCAGGTAGTCCTTGTACATTTGGTGTTGTCTAAGCATCCCAAAAGCCATGACCTCTAAACCACCATCCAACTCATTAATGAAATTAATGAATAGTACCAGATCCAAGCTCAGGGCCATTTGAGACACTCCATGATCCCCAATACATCCATCCAGAATGGGCAGATATGACAGGACCTGCAGGAATCTTGTCCTGTCTGGAACAGCATCTGAAGGCAATATCTCAAACGGCACAAGACACCTAACTTTAGACAACACAATCATGCCCTTTATAGACCACAGATAATCTGCACTGCTAATATTCTCAGAAACATGATGCACATACCACCCTAGCTGTCAGCTAGCATTAGAAAAACTGCTTTCATATACCTTGGCAGCATCTTGGAGATTTGGTAGCCGCAATTTGATAATTTGCTGTAATTCCTCTGTCCGCCGCCCCAGTTCCAGCACTTGCTGTGACATTCCTTCAGTGCAGTATACACTTGCCAGATACTCAATCCTCTCACTCATGGCCTCAAGATCACCATGAATCTCCCCGGACTCATCAAGCATAGTCTAGATGGAGATACGAACAAATTGAATGCCAGAGTTGACCTTCAGATTAAACATATCTTTAAGTATCTTCCTGTTCTGCAAACTCCTCAATTTGTACACATCTGTAAGCGTATGATTAAGTTCCACTGATTTCCTGTAAGGCATAGGCGATATGCTTATTTCTGCCTGTATGCTGAAATGTTTCAGCTCATGGAGACCGGGAAACAAAAGAGTAAGTTGTGAAGCTTCAGCAGCTGTACTTACCAACACACTCATTTTAGTGTTTTGCTATACACACTTGCCTGTAAAAATATAATATACACAATTTATGGATAGGATTTGTTCTGGAAGCCTGATGTATCTAATAGCAAGCAGCAGAAACCACTTGGTTGCAGTGTTATAGCATGGCAGTAGTCATTAATGCTGCCTAAAAATAGCTACTAAAGTGTTCTGTGGGATGGCATTGGTTAAACCCATATCCTCATCAACTTTTGAAGCAGAGAAAAAAGCCATAGCAAAAACAAACCAGAAAGGGTATCTCCCAGCTATCCTCAGGATAAGCTGCCTGGAGGTTCCTATTCAGAACAAGAAAGTGTGACATACTATGTTGCCCCAATGTAAGTGACTGCAGCTGACACTTAACTAATGTATATATAAAAACCATAATTAATGCAGTCTTATTTTGGCATTAGTGAGACACGATGATCTTATGATGCTTTGATTTGTTTCGCATGGTCATGTAACACTGGGACAGCTTGAACCTTATCAGACTACTCCACTGAGCCCACACTTACACATTCCACACACAGACACACAGAGACCAAATTGCACTGTCACAGAGACAGCAAAACACTCTGATGTGAGATGTTCAGAAAGCAACTGGAAGAACTCATCCGTTGGGTATCAGTCTGAGAATATTTGGTGTGAAACTCATCAGATGAGAACAAAGGCTATTCTAATTTAGAGTAAAGGAGAAAGAAAAAAAACAACCCACCAAACCTGAAAATTGTGTTTGGTTAACTAAAGTTTTAGAGGAATATTAGCTGCAATGAGGTACTCAGTGTGACAGAATCACAATGTATAGACACACTGTTTGATCAAAAGCTGCTATGAAGCCAATGTACTTGAGTAAACATGGAGATCAACTTTGAATCACATAGTTTTATTCAACAATATATCTTAATTTCAGTCTTCAAAACAATTGTCCAAAACAAATTAATAATGTTTAAGACTTGGGAGAACAATCAAAGAAACCTAGCATTTTAAGACTTTTTTTCCTCTAGGAAAGGAGGCAAAAAAGTGTAGGAAATAAAACTTCACTGCTCAGAAAATAACTTCTGTTATACACTGCCCTTTAAATTTCATAGCTCATATAATCACCTGGTAGGCTTTAAACTGATCACGAAGCTGAGAGGAAGAATTCCATGTTATACTACCATGCACTAGGATATTTGCTTTCTCGATCCATTTCAATATGAACTCCAACATCTCATTGTATTCTTCCAAGTGTGAAGCAGCCTGGATATAAAAGAAAAATCCACTTAAGCCTAAGATGTAGTTCTGTACAGTTCTTAGGGAATGATAAAATCTATTTCACTTACTGTTCTTAACTTGGGGATCATTTAAACAACTTTTCCTTACTGTTGAATATAATTAATTACTTCTGTATTTATGGAGTTAAAAGGGGTCTGCTTCCAGTAGCAAGCATACCTATTTCAGGGGAAAAAAGGCACTACAAGAACGTAGGTCACACTGAGAGAGTGCATTGATGCTCAAATGTAACCCTACAGGGTATGCTTCCTGCACATATTCAGCCTCACACCTAAGTTCCAAAATACCTTCCTGCTCCATTTGTGTCTCACTGCAAGCCTCTTTTATGTCATTTCTTATTTTTCTTTGTCTCTTTCCATGTCATCCCCCAAATCACCTTTATTTAAAATGTGCTTTGTCCACTCAGCCTGTCATAATTCCAAAAAGAGAAATGTTCCACTTATTTCAAAATACAGGACAAATGCTCTGCTTTCTGATTCATCCAATTTCTATTTAGCTAAGTACTCTGTAGTTCCAATTTTCTTCTCACTTAGTTAGAATAATTTCACTGATTTTCATGCATTTGTCCTGTATGAAGGATGGATCAAATCCTAGGTGACAGAACTGTGTTTGCATGCAGTTTGCCTTACCTATAATTTTTTATGATAGGAAGTGGATTTCTTCGTGCTGAATAAAAATATCCTAATAGTTAAACCCCTTCGCCAAGTACCTTTGACTGAACTCTTACTTTGATAGTAATTTTCTCTCTTTTCAAAAACAGCTTTTCAGAGGAAACTGAAAAGGATGTAATGAAATAGTTATCTTTTTCAAGCCTTACAGAAGCTTCTTTACGCATGCAGAAAATAGAAGTCATAATTTATCAGGGTGTTGATGGCAGAACCATAGAAAATCCATTTCTTTGCTTTTAGCTAGACTTTTTTGGAATAACAACAACTAGCAAAAGAATACATAAGAAAGAGTTTTAGGGACTTTGAACTGCAGGGGAAGCATCGTTATGAATGCTGAAGTGTTGCATAAACATTATGCATTATCAGGGCCATTGTATCTAGGTTTTTCTATTGAACCTGCAAATTATATTCACCCTCTATAGACTGTGACTAGGGCAAAACATTTTTTTTTGTAGTGCTGTAAATATAGGTAACGGTGGAAAGACAGAGGCTCTGAAAAGTACAACGAGACAGTATTTCCTAGCATGCTACCCTTTGTGGGAAGGTCTACAATCTTTTCAGGGGACCAGAGGAACCAACCAGCAGATGATTCATGGAAGAGGATGTTAAAGCAGCATCACAGAATTATTCCACCTTCCTGATCTGACCCATCTGTGCTTATCTTTGAGGTGCGATGCAAGCCCTGACTAATAATAGGCAGATGTGCCAAGGAATGCCCCTTCTTGCATAACTACAGGAAAATAAATGAGAAGTCTGCATGGTCCTTCTGCTTCTCAAAGGAAACAGCAGAAAGGATTTGAGATCATACCTGACTGAGCTTGACTGCTCTGTACTCAGCCTGCTGTATGGTCTGTTGGTGCAATGCAGTGAGTTTCCCTATCCTGTTAGCCAGCTGCTTAGCCAGCAGTACGTTCTGCTCTGCAAAGTCCTGGACTGATGCATCTAATTCCAACAGCTTTATATTGCAGCTGTCCAACTCTTCACCGAGGATCTAGACAGAAAAACGAGAAAAATCAGTGATCCAGGAAGTGTTAGCTTTCTGGTTGATTATTTCTAGTCCAACTTGCAACTTTTATACTCTGTCCAAAGTCTCCATAGTTTGTTCCATTTTTATTCTGGCTGGAAGCCAACAATGCTTGTCTAAGCAGGAAGGCAGAACAGCAGGATGTCTGGTGATCTCTTAAATGTGTGCCATTACTCTTTCTTCTCTGACTTCCCATCTGAAATGGATAACCATTTTCCCTACCATAGCAAAAGACTGAGTCACTTCGGAGTGACATGAACTGTTCTTGGCCATCTTACTGTGTTTGTTTTTGAAAATAATAGTCAGCCCACATTGCCATGACAAGGATTTTTATTTACTGGAAAGGGCTTTCGTTTTGTTGCTGTCTTAAAATACACCCTTACAAACTCAGAAATATGTAATTACTCATTAATGCATTATAAAAACTTTCATTTGCATTTGAAACTTGCATTTTCATAGCTTGATCTTGACACAGGAGCAGTCTGGATCATGCTAGACTGTTTCAATAGAAAGATTTTAAAATCAATTTTTCTTGCCATAGTTACAAAGTTTCTGAAAAGTTTAAAAAGGAAACCTAAAAGGTTTTCAATGTTTCTCATAGGTTGATAACACACTTACGGGCTACAGTTTCTTGGAGAGGGGGTATTGTGGTTTTTTTTTTTTTGTATCTTGTTTTTATACCAAAGGTGTTATGATTCATTGTTTTTGTAATATAAATAAGTCTCATTAAACACTCTACCCCTTTACAATTATTTTTAGAAATATAAATTGCAATCATCAGACAAAAATTGATTCAGAACACGGCTCTAGCTACAGGTGCTTCAAGAAGGTATTTGAAGCTTTTCAGGTTAGGGCTGTCATGTTAGAGTGTAAGTTATGATCAACCATTATGATAAACAAATATTAATCCAAGAACAGTAGCATGACTTACGACATAAATGTCTACATGTAGACATAAAGACACAGATGTTCAACTACTCATCTAAATACAAAGACACACATATTTCAGGCAGACATTTTCAGGCACACATATTTCAATTTTTAGAATTTATATGCTGTTTAACAGTGAGGGAAGTATCCACTTGACTTGGGTCACACGGATTTAAAACAGATTTTTATTTTATTTTTCACAATCAGTTTCAATGTAATATAAAAATATTTACGGCTGTAATCAAAGCCAACCCAATCTCAGGAGTATCAGCTGAGTGCTGACATAAATGCAGTTAAGGGAACTTTACTAAATCTCCAGTAAGAGAGTTTTTCATCTGTGTAACATGGAAAAGCACATTTCACTGGCTTTCTGCTTAATTAATGGGATCAAGGAGATAGATACACCAATTTTAAAGGGATATACTTCAGTGACACCTCCTGCAAAGCAAATGGTACTTTGGAGCATATTGAGAGCAACTCATGAAAATAAACAGGTAATTTTTTACATACCAGACATACCAAATCTTGTCCTTTTTGGTATGCTTTGCTTACTTTCAGACAGTAACTTCGTCAAGTTTATCTTTGACTAGTTAAGAAAACAAACCAACCAAAAAAAACCCCCACCCTCAACCAACCCCTTCCCCATCTCTCCCTGCCCCCAAAATCCCCTACTCTCATATGATAATCCTAACTTGGCCATTACACTTCAGCACAGATGAGTTTTTCTGAGTGTGGTACATACCTAAGATTAAGAAAACCTATAAAAAGAATCAAGAGTCTTTTGCATTATCCTTAACCGCACCAGCAGTACTTTACCTCATTTTGCACCAAATGATACAAGATGAACTAGTGGCTAAATAAAATTCTATTTATCAGAAGTAAAGGTGTACTGTAAAGAATGGTCTTTTTGGTACAGACTGGGACAAGGAGCAGCTTGGGAGTCTCTTAGGTTTTCCCAGCTTGCAGTCATACCTATTATTTAGATGGAACAGCACAACTTTGTCCACCTGACTTGCTTTTACTCTCAGCTACTTCCTCCAAGTTCTTTTACTCACTCAAGTCCCTGTATGGGTTAGTTTGCAAAGAATATAATTAAAAATATCTCATCAGTCAACCTTTATTTCCGTCTATTCTTCTGTTGAACTACATTAAAAAAAGAAGTGTCATGCAAGTCTTCACAAATACAACTTTGGTATGAAGTGAATGACCCAATTCAGCAGAATTTATGGTGTAACCAAATAAGGGAAGCCTTGTCTTACCTTTTGTTCAAGTTTAGCCTGTGCTATATCATTTGTTTTCTTTTTCAGTTTGGAAAGAATGGCATTTAGTTCATTTGCTATCCCCTGGATTTTCTGACTGAACTCTTGATTCAATGTTTTGATCTGCTGAGTTTCTCTTTCTTTGGTTTCAATCTGTCAACAATAAGAATTAAATTCAGTAACTAGAAATCTCTCCTCCTGAAAGGAAATCAACTTTCATTTGACTTACTTTGATTTAAGGGAAGAAGGTAATGAAACTACTCTACGTTGTCATAGTATAGACCACACTTGGATACTGTATTTCACTAAAGCAGGGCTATAGATCTGTAATGCATTTATCTACTATGCTTTACCTGATCTTGCACAGTTACAAGGGCCAGCCCAACTTCTGCTAAATGAAGAGAGAGTTCAGAAGGCAAAATGGTATAAAGCCCCAAATACTTATTCTGTTGTTGTTCAGTCATTTTTTCAACAGCCTGGCGATGAGTAGTTACTTCACCAAGGAGAGACTAATGACAGAAAAACAGTATTGTTAAGGACAAAGGGAAAAACATGTCTGTGTAAACTTAGCAAATGCAGACATTGCATGCAGCTTGCAACAAAGCTAACTGCTTTCAATTTTTCAATTAGTTCATTAAAAAGAATCGTATCTTGGGATTCTCTGGATTCTCATTTATGACTGTCTGTCTAGTTCTCTGTTCCTGTGTGACCAGAAATATAGAAAATATATATAGAAAATGTCAAGGTTTCAGCACCTTGAGTGACATGTGGTTAAAAGCCCAAAGTGCTGAGATAGAAAAAAAAGTCACATTCTGTCCATTCACATTCTACAGTTCACCCTACATTTTAAATGAGAGAGAAAAATTACTAAACAATATGCTAGTATGTAAAACTGCATAAATGCAAATAATTAAATATATCTTAAATATCTTTAAAATAAGGTATTACGGCACATCAGCCACTTCATGCTTTATGAATTTGTCTAGTGGCTTCCTCAAAAACTAATGAATGTTGTCTAATTTGAATTCTAATTTGAATGGTGTTTTTGAAATGATTAACACTCACTAGCAGATTACAACAAAGATAAATATTGTGATTTAGAAATCGACAGATTTGATATACCTGCAACTCCTGAAGTTGAGTATCCACTTCTACATCAGGGCTTAATAAATATTCTTTTGTTTCCTGGATCCAGGACTCCACACTATTAATCTTTGCTTCAACCTCGTCCCGCTCCTTCAGCTCCTGTTTCACCATCTTCACACCTTTTTTCACCTTCTGTTGCATACTTCAGAAACAAAAAAACAATAACTATTTGTGAAGAATTGAGCAATGTCTAAAAACGTTTTGTCAAAAACTATTGAATAATAAAGATAATGAGTAGCAGCCCCACATCCAGAGTAATAAAAAGTGGGGCAGTGTTGCAATAGACTACTAAAGAAGCACACTTAAATTTCTTATGTTCATTCTTCAGTTCATTCCTTTTAATTAGCAGTTTTATGTATTTTGACATCAAGCACACAATTCTTTTGAAGAAAGGCAAATGTTTACAATACAGACACCTACATCTGAGCTTATCACCACAGACTGCCCTTATTGTCAGTGGAAGAAGCAGGCAATTCCACGGCATGATTTAGGATGATTCATCATCATTCTAAAAGAAACTTCTAAAATAGGTCAGAAAAACTGCATCTTAGAGCTGTCTATTTCTTTCCGCTAATTAGAGAGTGAGAATTAACCAGTTCAGATGCAGATATCTATACTCTAAAACAGCATGAGATAAATTCCACACCTATTGATGGTATTTGCATTGGCAAAATACCTAGGATAAGGCATGGATCAAACATCTGAACACCATTTTTGATCCAGGGACCTATCTCCACAGTTCTACTAAGACAGACTTTCCACACTTTCCTCAAAGAACTTGGATCTACTGTAAAAAATAGGATCTTTTTTCAGACGAGAGCTCTGTGAGAGATCTACAGGACTACTTGGAGCTCTTATGTACGTGACATAGATTTTACCTTGATATTCCCATATTTGATTGGTGTTTGCATAACCTTTCATATCTGAATCATACCTTGTTTACATGAGCATGAGACCATCACACACCCTGTTTCTTAGAAACCAATTCCAAGGGAAGTATGGAATTACAAAAGTGCTAATATCTACACATTTTCTACAGGGATCGCTATTCTACTGTAATCAGTTATGCATGCACACAATGAACTTTGCACAGGCTAGGTGCAGGGTTTACAGTTTTTTCATTCTCTGTCTCTCTCCCTCTTCCCACTGTGGAAGATCCAGTTAATGGTATCTTAGTGCAGTTATGAGGTGCATAGGAGTCCTGAAACTTAGCCATAAAACTTCCTGTTTTATACATGACAGGGAAACACTTTAGATTTAGATAAACATTCATTTAACCATAGGGTGAAATGTTAAGATATGTTTTGTTTGCATATGCACTAAATTCCCTTGTAAAATTCACAGGATACCTACGTTTGGTACCTAAGTGCTTCCAACAGGGGAAACAAAGTGATAGACTAATCTGAACGTGGGATACAAAAAGAGAAAAGGTCAGTGTTAATGGTGAGGTGCAATGGAAGTGTTTAAAATCAGTTATAACTGTAATGTAATTTATACAACTCTTACATAAGTTACTATTATTATGCAAGGCAAGAAGTACATATTCTAAAATGCATACTCCTGCTGATGAAAATAAAAAATAATGGTGTGGTGGTGCATTCCCCCCTGCTTTCTTCTTAAAACGTATTTCAAGATTAATCAAAGATAATTTAAAATCAAACTGATGCTTATTTTAAACATAATAACTAATACTTAAGCATGGTAATTGTTAATGATAACAAAAATGATACATGAACTCTTATTAGCGAATTGTAAGGTACCATTTTTCTAGTGAATCTTTTAAAATATTGCCTTACTTGTGGCATCGATCTTGCATTGCTTTGATTTCTTGCATGACTGGTAGTTCCTCCTGAGATGGAGGCTTTATTTCCACATCCTGAAGCATGCTGACAGCATGCTGTTTGAGGAGGCCCAAAGATGACAGCTGGTGCTCCACCTCCAGAAGGAAACTGCTGTGGTAATCCAGGAGTTCCAGGAGCTCTGTCTTGGATGCCTTTTCCACTGAGCTTTCTGGTAAGCGACCTTGTAGCTGATCTATGGCTATGGTGGCTTTCTGAATCTATGGAAAGAGATGCGGTCTTGGAAATAATGAAATTAAAAAGAAGCTAGTACAACTGATACCAAAAGGTGTTAAAGCCAGTGCTGTTCATTCAGATGCTGTAAAACAGTTGTGGTATAGGGCTTGTACAGCAGTCTCTATAGCAGATATAAATCTATGTTCTAATGTGCTAGATCTAGCTAGCTAGCCCTAGCTCTTCACATGGGACTAGGACTTGCTAAGGGACTTTTTTGTCAAGTGATGAGTGGCTCCTCATATTTTTTAGCATTTATTATCTTTATTGCCGTAGGACCTAGAGCTCTACCCCAGGGCAGACCCGTATTTGGCACAAGTCATACTTTTAACAAAAAGATTATCACCATTCTCAGAGAACCCTTAATCTGAGCATAAAATAATGAACAAAACCAGATAAGGAGTCAGGTAGGATATAAGGAAAAAAAAAGAGACATGTGATCGGTGAGCAGTGACAGGCAATAATATCACTGCATAAATTTAGAAATAGCAATTTCATACTCTTCAGGGGAAAAAAAAAAGAAAAAAGGGTAAAAAAAAGACTCAATCTAGAATAGACCATCTGGGGAAGGGAAACATAGAGGAGAAGATTCTGAAGAACCATGAGAAACCAAAACAACCCTGTATTTACTATACATGTCTGCATATAGAAGAATAGTGCAAGCCTTGGAGGCAGTGGTTCTAAGCCTAGGGCCTCCATAGCTGTTTTTTTCTATGACCTGAGAAAAATCACTGTTATTCCTGCTATCAGCTTTCTCCACCATAAGGTGATTAACAAGGCAGTATAATGAGTGAAAACCTATGTACGGTTAACAAAGGAGGATTTACCAAGATCAGAAGTTACCTTATCATTAAAGTCCTTCCATTCCTGCACTGCATCTTCCAAAATTTTCTCTTGTTCTTGGGCTACATTCCGGAGCCGCGTCCAGCGCTGCCAAACCGTTGTCATGGATCTACTTATAGTTGCCTTACTGGCATCATTGCTAACTTTTTCCAGCTGTGAAGCCTTTTCTTCTAAGGCTGTGATCTTCTCATGGAAAGAATTCACTACAGACACAAGAGTCTGAAAAAGCAAAAATAAGCACTGTTTTCCTCTTTTACAACACAACTCATAAGTATTCAGCACACTTGCAGGCAGATAAGCCACTTCCATCCATGCAGACAAAGAGCAGGTACTCTATGCTGAGTGAGGTGGTTAGTTCTCACTTTATTTTTCATATACAATATATTAGCTACAGCTACTTGAAGGACCTCGTCCAAAATGCAACTCTCTGGAAGCAGCAGAAATTTGGTGTAATCAGATTTTCTCTTCCTTGCTAGCCCCTCAAAAGGGATGGAAATGAGTATTCAGGACCCTTCTCATAGCAAAGACTGACTTCTATTAGAGTCTAAAAATGAAAGCAGCAATTCAGGTGTGTAAGCATACATTAATGTCATGTTTATGTCTAATGCCATTTTAGATGTCCAAGGGTATCAGGATATTCTCATAAAGCTGGCAGACATGACATTACTCTTAAGGGAGATTCCTGCCTTCACAGAGACACAGCTGGAGACCAGGCAGGACTGGCTATATTAAGGCAACTGATTAGCACCCTATATACCAGAGGAGAAAGTAAATCTTTTAAGTTACATTTCATTCTTTTAGACTAAGCAAGAGTAAATATTAAACCCCAATCCCTCCTGTCCTAGTAAAACTATTTCATGTGATCCAAAGTAGATGGACGTTTCTATTGATCTGAATTTCTTGTAGGGTACACAATTTTGGGACTTATGCACCCACAGCTTTTAGGAGCCTCCTGGTTCCTTCTAGTTCTCTACAGTCATAGGCATATAGACAGACATGAAGCTACAAAGCGACCAAAAATATCTGTCCCAGTCACCCCACAAATAAAATGTGTGTTCTGCACAACACAAAACACCCCTTGGTGTGCTATGACACAGTTAAGCGCTACAGGAAAAGATCTAAAAACTCAAATTCAGGTTGCCACAGGTAGGGACCTACATAACATACTTTTATTTTCACTGAAGAAAAAGGATTTAATATAATTTTCAGTACATTACCTTATGTGTTAGCAATTTCTCTCCTGCTTCATGAGAAGAAGCAGCTTTAGCTACCGAGAATTCAGATAATTTTTTCTCAGCCTCATTCATCACTTCAATAACCTTCTGTCTTGCTGTCTGGTATTCCTGCCACTCAGAAGCACACCTTAAAAATATAGTTCCAGAAAGAACAATTTAATGCAATATAAAACCATTTAAAAATCAGGAATATTGTTGCACCTAGTTTTCAGTGTACTGCTTAGTTTTGCTGTTACACAGTATCTTCCAAGAAAAAGAAAGATTATTGGGAACGAGCATACATAGAAGCATATGCTCCTGATTTTCAGCTATCCCTTACAGACACAGCTGGGCATTTAATAGCCCTTGATTGGCTTTTCCTCAGTGACTTTGTCTAGGTTGTGTTTTAAATCCACCCAAAATTTTGGAATCCAGAACATTCAGGAATAATAAGTAAACATAGTTTTCTGGTTAAAAAGGTATTTCCTTTTAGTTCAAAATGTCTGCTTCAATTTAATTTGTTTCTGCATAGGTCTTGTGCCAGGTGAAATAAGGGAAAGTCATTCCCTACTCTTCTTGGTGCTGTTCCAAGCTTTATATAATTTTATCATAGCTTCCTCAGGATCACACGTCTAGTCAGTCAGTGGCAGAGGAGAAAACAGAATCCAAGAACTCTGAATCCACTTCTCATCAGTAGCACAAACATTTTACAAACTCCAGTTAATGTTGTGATGTGTTTCTTTCATCACCAACAAGGTGATCTTAAAATGAAAGAAAAAAAAAAAAAAAGATGAACATACCTTTGCAACTGCTCTTGTTGGGATTTGGCTTCTTGCTTTGTCACTTTGGCCTTTTCCTCCAATGCAGCTACATTCTGCATCAGCTGCTCTCTTGCTGTGGCTTGGATAAAGGGCTCTATCTCAGACACAAGGCCCTGTAACTCCTTCAAATGATTACTGAACTGACTTTCTGTGCTGAAAAATTCAATGTGGTTCCTTAGGTTCTCCTCAGAGTTCTCAACATCAAGACCATTTCTTGCTAAATGTAGAAATTCCTGAGCATCTTCAAGCCAGTCATTTGCTATCTGCATCACTTGGTAGTATCTTTGGCAGAGGCTATATAATTTATTCAAGGTAGCCTGAAATAAACAGGAAAATTACACCGAGAGTCACAGACAAAAAATTCACAGCAGTAACAAAATGATTCTCCGCTGAGAGTCTGGATTTTGGCCATTCTTACTTTTTTTTCCCCTTTATTATATCTAAAATACAGGGCCAGAGAGCCTACATGGAAGTAGGTTTTGAGTGAGTTTGCATTTCTACATGCAGGTATAAATGCATATTAAGGAAGCCTTCCCCCCTCCCAAGTCAGCCATGCCAACAGGCCACAACCTAAGACATTAAAAAAAAAAAACCAACAACAAACCAACAGGATTATTAAAAAATCAATCTTTTCATGATCATTACAAACATCAAGCCACAGAGTCATATTTTTCAGCTTCGTGAGTGAGAAACTAGTGACACTTAGGGTGCACTAACCTGTCTCATGTGTATAGCTTCTTGAACTTCACCATCTAGTTCTGTCAGCTCAGCAAGAGTGTTTTCCAGGTCAGCAGGTATCAGCTCCTTTGCTTTCATATATCTCTCTTTCTCTTTATTGCTCAGTGCATTCATTATTCTCAGACTCGACTGCACTTCTTCCTGGTGTATCTGAACCTTTCGGATTTCTTCTTGTATGCTTTGCAGTTTGAGGTCCAAACTTAATGTTCCATTAAGTTCTGTTTTCACCCATCTCAACCAGTCGAGTGAGCGGCAGATTTCTGTCTGGAAGTCTATGCTTTGCACAAGTCTGTTCTCACACTCCATCACAGTGTCACCAATGGCAGCATGCAAAGACTTTAGTTTCTCTTGCCAAGACTGCACTTGGTGATTTGCTGTCTCACACGCAGATGAGTCAAGCTGAGGAGAAAGGGCTTCCAGATGTTCAGTTATTCGCTTCAGAAGACTCCCCAGGTCTTGCAAGCTGCCCACCAGAGAATGGTATATTTTCAACTTTTCTTCTATTGGGAGCGTTTCTTCATTTACCTTAATCTGTTCCTTCTTCACTGCCTCTAGTTGCGCCTCAAACTGCATACACATTTTCTCATGCTCTTGGCACGCTTCTATTGTGTCTTCCAACAGGTTGATTTTCTGTTCTATTTGCCTCTTCAACTTGTGATATAGAGTGACGAGTTTTAACATCTCATCTGCTTGCCATGGCTGGCCAGTGCTTCGAAAGCCTTCTTTCTTCTGGTTTAGTTCATCCACTGCTGCACCAAGGCTCATCACTTCACCTAAGAGATCTCTGTAGGCCTGCTGGAGTGACACAGCTTCTTTGGCTAAAACAGCAGCTGGAGCTTTGTCCATGTTAATAAACTGATCTTCTAGCTCAGTCAGAGCTTTACTTGTCAACTCAATCAGAGAGGCATACTCTTTTCTGGCATAAATTGCTTCCTGAACCTTATATAATTTTTCTTTTGCCAGAGCAGTGACAATATTGAATTGCTGAGGGAGAATGTTAAGTTTTTCATCCAGATAAGAATGATCCACTTCATTAAGTGATGGCAGGATTTCTTGGCCATCTCTTTGCAGCGCAAGTAACAGATTTTCATATTCTGGAGATTGCTCAAGAATCTGTTGATATTTTGCCAACTGCGTGTATAGTTCAGTGTTACTATTCATTACATTGACTTCTGGGAATGTGACAATATCAGCTTGTTTTAGCCAATGGCAAGCTTTATCCAAGTCTTCTTTGAAATATTTCCTGGAAACTATATTTTTCTCTAGTTCTAACAATCTCTGGTTACACTTCTGTAAAACAGTGTCATACGCATTCTGTAGTTCTTGCAGTTTACCTAACACTTCACTCTTTTCTTGTTCTGTTGCTTCTTTCATTAAATCCCTTCCTTGGGCCCACAACCCCGTGACTTCATTTTGATAGGCCTTCAGGTTAGCCTGGGCATTCTTACAAGTCCTGATCTGTTTGTTCACATCTTCCGGCAACAGACAAATGTGTTCTGGAAAAGTTACCTTCTTCTCATGCTGCTGAATTTGGTTTGTAGCCTGAAAGATTGCCATAAGAAACTGAGTCTTTTCAGACAGTGCTTTATTCAGGTGCTTTCTTCTCTGGCCAACCAGATTGCTGAGACAATCTACATGGTGCTGTGCATCAGAAAGTGCTTTCTGCAGCTCCTGCCTTTCATTGAGCCCTAGGTTGGTCATCACCCTGTCAGCATCCTTCACAAGCGTCTTCAGAACAAGTTGTTTGGCTTCAAGCTCGCTGCAAATGGTAAGATGATCCACAAGAAGACTCTGAGCCAGATCTGGAGGAGGGCTCTGTTTAAGAGCCTCTGAGATACTAGGTTGCTGCTCCTCTGCCCATTCCATTAGTTCCTGAAATTTGGAATGCACCAAACTGAGCTCTTCTAAGGTTGAAACAGAAACTTGAATTTTCCTTTTGACAAGGTCCTCCAGCTGAGTCCAGCGTTGCTCAAAGTGACCAAATTGCTCCTTTACTAATTCTTTATCATCAAGATTCAGATGTTCTATCATTTTCTGTTTCTGATCTTTCAAATCTTCCAGAGCAAATCTCCTTTCCTCTAGTGTCAGTGCCAATTTTTGCAAAGCTTCAAGGTGCACATTTGTACTTTCAGCATCAGATCTGTTATCAAAATGGACAGGACAGAAATTAATTATTAGATCCTATCTCAGGATAGACTGTTAAAAGAGGTCAGGATGAATTATAAGCTCACTATATACTGAAATCAATATGATATAAATACCTACAGTTTTCACATTCTTTTGAAGGTACCAGACTTGAATATTTTAATTAAAAAGTTTTTTATTCCTCTCCCTTTCATCTACAATGTGGTCATCAGGCTGACCATACAAATTAACATAAATACTACAGAGTATACTGGTTATATTGCACACATGAACAACAATAAGTACTGAGATCGAAGTGAATCTTGTTCCACGATAGTGATAGCAGCAGTAATAGACTCTCACAATTTTACACACAGCTGGTGTGTTTATGCTATACAAAGCAGCTGCAATCATTTAGCAGAAGCGACTAAACTTTAATATAATAGTCTAATAGATAAAACACAATGTCACAATGAAAAACAGACATGAAACACAGTAAACACAAATTAAAGAGTTCAAACAAAGTAGTCAAAATGCTTGAAATATCAGAAAATGCTATACCCTGAGATGGGACCCATCAGCACTTGCCTTAAAGACAAACACTGAAGATCTGGCTTCTCAAATGCTCTTTATTTCAATCAAGTAATTGTCCCATAATTAATAAGGGAAGCCTGCTTTTACTTAAGCATGAAAAAAGGGATTTTTAGTGGATGCATCTTAGAAACACTCTGTAAATGGCTCTTTCAGCGTATATGGACTAAGTCAGCTTTGTGCATGCTACTACGTTTTTTTACCTAGCCAGGTTGTCCCACTCTTTTGTGAGCTTTTCCAAGAAAACTTCAACTACATTCATGCGATCGTGATAATCCCCCGTCCTCTGCAGATCCTCCTCCCTCTGTATGAGCAAACTGTGTGCCTGAAGGCAGAGGTCCAGCCACTGGTTACTCAGCTCTCCTATTTCCTTGTGTTCAGGTGATTCCTGTCCTTGGGTTAGTTTGTTCATCTTCTCAGTCACAGATGTAAGAGCTGACTGCTTAGACTGCAACTTCTGACTGAATTCCTAAAAAAGATACAAGTTGAAACCAATATGGTGACGCCTACTCAAAATTATAAGATGGAATTTAAATAAAAACTCTGAAATAAATAAATTGTGTAAGGACTAATTATCTGCCCAGGCAAATGCTGTGCAGATGTAAATTGGAAGAAGTGCCTTCTCCCCTCCCCTAATGTTTCTCCTCATCTTCTTCGGTGAGGACAGGTTGGTTATATACATGAAAACAAACCAGAGCAGTTTCCAAGTGCCAGTGATAAACAGAAATCACGATCAAGTCACACCTTGTTGTCTGGGCTTCCGGACTAGCACAGCTCCCACCATACACTAAAACATGCAAGATAGTCTGGGTCTGATGAGAGTTCATTTTGTCAGTACTGTTTCTAGCTCATTTTTTCCCTTTTCCTTTTTCATTAGAGACTAAAAATAGGAAGCGAGTCCATGAGTCAGTAAGCCCCCACATCCATACTTTGTTTTGTTCCTACTTCTGTAATAGCGACCATTATCACTGTCATTATTGGAACAAAGCCAATTATTATCTAGGTATGATTGCAATTTGAGTTAATAAATTCCAGTAAATAAAAGAGTCCATCTGCACACACATTTCTTACCAAATAAGAAGCCACAAAGAACCTAAAAAAAGAATATACAATACACTAACAACTAAAACTAACCAAATATTTTTCAGCACTTACACACTGTCTAGGGTAAATATAATCTTTTCCCAAATTCTAGTTCCAATAATTGTAACTAAACAACCATGCCCAGCTCCAGAACTTTGCTGGGATGTTGCATTTTTACTGAGGGCTGGTAGAAGTTGTGGAGAAGAGATGCTACTGCCCAGCTCTGCCTCATTCTTCTTTGTGACTGCTTCAAATAGAGCTAGGCATCTTCAATTACCAGGGCAAATTCAAAGAAAAAATACATATTGCGTCACATCTGACAATACATCAGGTGCCTGCCTTTCATAATAATCCAAACTTCCTGACTGAAATATTGAAGTACAGGCTCCTGCTTCTTCCTGGACTCTAATGATAGCTAGCGTAACAGCTTTCAGTCCACATTGTGCTGAGGTATCTTCTATGACTTTGTTCAAACACTTGTGTAAGACAGACATGAAGAGGAAGTGCTGTTTACTTTTCACCTAACTCCTAGCTATCAGAAAAAGAATACAAGCAAAGTCTAGACCAAAAATGCAAACCCCAACCATTTCATCATTTATCAAAGAAATAATCTGTTTTCCTGTTTCTTCTTGTTACTTTACTGATGTTTGTGATGTGTGCAGAATGGCCATAAAAATTCTCTCATCTGTAAATTAATACGAGTGAAGATCTGAAGGCATTTGTCTCACTATTTTGGGTAAACTAAATTGGATTTCTATAATACCTATTCTCCAGTAGTTTTCAGAGTCCAGCAACATTGAATAGTTTCCTAGAATAATTCTGAAATAGATCTAAATAATTCAGAAGTATTGGAATCAAGGAACTTAGCGAGCACGAATTGCAGATCTTATCTTCAGGTCCACTGTGATCAGCAATTACTCTATTAAAAGTGAAGGCAAATAAGAACAGTAGGCTGAAAATTGTCTACTGTTAAAGAAACAAAACCAGAAAAATTAAAGAACAGTGTTTTGCTTTCTCTGCTCTTGCCTAGAACATATTAGCAATTCTATGCAATATGTGCATATAACATGAATTATAATAATATCAGCTATCGGATGAAATTCCCCCTTACCTTCTGTTCTTAACCTAAAGTCTCCTTACCTTAACCTGGAGTACCATATTCTGGGCAATGTTTAGCTCCAACTCTGCCCGTCTCCTTTTCAAATTCTGTAGTTGTTGATCTGCATCCTGGAAATATATCCAGAGCTCAGCCTTCATTTGTTTGATCTCTTCCCAACCTTGAGCCAAATACTGTGAGTGCATTATCTGTTGCTCAATCTAGAAGAAAAGAAATGGAGTAGGAATGCTTTAATGCAGCTATTTTTGGAAAATGGAGGATGAATAGCATTCTTCCCCTGAGCACAATACTGTACTAAGAGCAAATTTCTGCACTAGATTCTGAAGGGGCTAATATTATCCACAAAAAGAGTCTTAACCTTCAAAAGTCATAAAAATCAGACCTATCAGAGGAAAGCTGTGGAAAAAAAAAGGAATTATCATTCACCCTTGAGAGAAGCAAGTATACTTATGAGTGTGTGTATTTCAAAGTGTTCTCAGTCTTCTACTAAAGCTTAAATTAACTGTATGATTTAGTCTATTGCATGCCAAGAATACTGCCGGACTGTGCTCTACATGCCTTCACAAAGACCGAATTAAAGCTTAAACTAAACACTTTCATTTAATTTGCTTAGTCCCATTATTTTGCCTATATGCTTTCTGTAAAATGTCAATAAGAAGAATGCTTACCGGATCTGAGCCCGTCAATCACCTTAAACCAATAGTCATACACCTTCTTTTGCTCCAAATACAGCAGTAGGGCGCTTTTAAGGTTTAGACACTCAACCAGCTTAATATATCTCAGCACTGTACTGTCTGTGATTTATTAAAAATGTTTCGCTGCTTTATATATAAAAGGCGAATCTTATTCTGATGTTTGGGATACTTTTTAGCTATTCAATATTTGGACTGCCATTTTTTTATGGATTACTTGGATTTGTACAATTTACATCTCTGGTATGGAATACTGTTACTGTATATATTAGATTTTTACTCTTGGTAGAAGTAGTTTCAAAGTTTGGTTGTGTGTGTATGTGAAACTAAAATTTTCATGTTTACAACAACAGGAATGCTTATAATGCTTCTTTTCTAATACCTCTTATGTTTATAATTTTATTCTAAAACCAAGCATTAAGCTACTTTAAAACTTAAAATTGAGGTACACTCCTATAAATTCATATGCTGAAATAGATGCACTCTAATTTATGAATTGAACCATCATAATTTTTTATGATGATTATAATTAGTATTTTAGTATATCGTAATAAGAATATCAGTTTACTGTTGAAAAAATACCAGTAAAACATATCTAAGCTTTAATAAAATACAGATAAGAATAGATTGAATTGTGTTGTATGAAAACAAATAATTTGGATCAGGTTTTCTTCCACAGAATGTTATTTGTGTGGCCAACATCTTGTAACATTGCCTGAGTACCTTTAGCAACCTTCGTTGTGTGTCTTTGTATTACTACCAGGATAGTAATGTGTGGATTTAATTTTAAAAAAAAAAAAAAAAAAAAAAAAAAAAACAAAAAAAAAAATAAAAAAAAAAAATAAAATAAAAATAAAATAAAATTCTACCTACATTATTAAAATATAAAAAAAAAAAAAAAAAAAGTAGAAAAAGCAAGAGAAAACTATGCCTAAAAGAAATACTTAAGATGAAAGTAAAAAGACATTTCTTTAAACCATTACCCAATATGACCTTCTTAAAAGAGGACAGATCAAGGCAGTTAAAGCTCTAAATAGGATTAAAAACACGTTGTTGTGGTTATCTTGTACCGTTTGTTTTGTTTGTTGAATATCTGTTGCTGTACTCTTCACTGTGGCATCTGACAGATCACACATGGAGCACAAAAGATCCAAGTATGTATTGGCCTGCTCCTGCAGAGCCCGGAAATGTTTCACCTGAGGGAAGACAATCCTCAAATAAACTCTGAGACTGTGGAAATAATCTCTTATTTCATCACAACCATGCATTTTAGTATTTTTACTTTAGCTTATTATTTCCAAAAGATGAAATGTAGACATTATTTTATTGGGTAAGGCTGCTCTGTCATAATTATGGAAAACAGTAACTCTGATTATCATCCAATTATCAAAGCGCCTAGTGACATACGCATTACCCAGTTTATTTCTTTATAAATAAAGTGTTGGATAGATACACACAGTTTCAATGAGGTGACTTACTTTCCCAAGGTGAATGGGAAGCAGGGCTTTATCCAATTATTGAAGTGTCCTGTTGCCCATACCTATACAATTCTCCAGTGTCTGATAGATCATGGGGAATCCAACCCAGTGGCACAAAACGCTTTCCCACACCTTCTGAAACCCTTTCAGTGCCCCCAGTATCTACAGTTGCCAAGATCAGACAACATGATGCTGTTGAGGGCTTTTGCTCTCGACATTGCCTGTAGGAGCCCACCTCTCCCTCTGAAGAGTTTCCTCATCCCAAAAGAAAATGATGATATTATTGCCCTGCTTGTCAACACTGACATACCTCCTAGAGTCCCAGGGAGAAGGGGTGAGTGACGACCTAACACAGAGGGCCAGTGGTAGGTCCTTGTGGGCAAAAAGTTGAACATGACAGCAGTGTGCCCTTGTGGCAACCCCAAATTACTGTATTAGCAAGAATGCAGAGAGTAAGCTGTGGGAAGCATTTATTCTCTTGTACTTACACTTGTCAGGCTGTGCCTGGTGTATTTGTCCCAGTTTCCCCTCTTCCCCCATAGAACAGATATTAGCAAACTGGTGCAAGTCTAGCAGAGGGCTGGAGGGATATGAGGCTGTAGTATGTGGCATTTGGGCAGGTCTGAAGGAACTAGGTTTGTTCAGCCTGGAGCAGAGAGGCTAACAGCAGTCTGCCATTACTTAAAATGGTCAGGTGGGGGCAGTGCTGAGAAGACAGAGCCGAACTGCCAAGGTGAGCAGAGAAAGGACTGGAGGGAAAAGTGACAAGTCACAACAAGGAAATTCTTCCTAGATATGAGGGAAACTATGTTTCACACTGAGAGCAGTTAAAAGCACTGGAATAGGTCCCTAATCCTCAGGGACAGTCAGGGCCTTCAGTGCACCAAAGGACTCTGCAACCTCTATTCCCTTCTCCTTGGGGTTTGGCTGCCTCTGCTCAGGGCCAGCCCTGACTTGGCCCAGCTCAGACCTGGCCAAGGGAAGAGCATTCAGAAGCCTTCCCCCTTGCTCAAGAGCTGTATGTAAGCTCAGACCTTCATCCACCTATGGACCTCACCTGAGCTACACTGTAGGTGCATCTGTGCCTGGCTGATCCTCCTGGTCTTGCCTTGCTGCCCTGACCTCCTGCCTCCACCTGGGACTGGCCTCATCCCTACAGGCTTCCCTGGTGATCACCAGATGGTGGCTGACACCAGAGGGACTGTGCTGTGTGTGCTGCAGGTCTGCATGTCATTGGGAAGGTGCTGCCCTGCTGCCCTCACTGTCACCACCTGCCCTTGCAGAGCTGCCATCTGTAGTATTTCAAGGTCTCTATTAAGTCACATGGTGGATGCGACAGCCCTGACTTCCAGCATTTTTAGTACCATACCAGTTTAATTTGAAAACAAGGTACAAATCAAATGTAAAATACATTAAGTTACTAAGAATAATCAAGAGGCAAAGAAACCATTCTTAATGGCTAATGTGGGCTAGAGGCAGTTTCAGGCTCTTAGGCTGAAAAATTGTTTTAATTGCCTGATAACAGACTCTCTGTCCATGGTACTGTGAAACCAGGTCTCATACAGGAATATTAGTAGACAGATGGGCAATTGGAGAAGCAGAAAGACACAACCTCCCTGCTAAACACATCTGTGGAGTATCTGAAAGGTTTATCTAATTAGCCACATTTTTTTTCAGGTAACATATTTCTAAGCATTAAGCTTTTAAGGAAAAGCCCTGTGTAATTTTTCACTTTCACTCAAGGTATTCCTTTTGGAGCTGGGAATAAACAATGAGGCTACACAGTCCTCTGAGATGGTCAGAGAGAGTATCTAATTTGTCTTAACATAAAGCTCTTACTTGAACTCACCTTATTAAGAATAACTGAGCATTTTCAAGTGCTGAACTTTTACCTGTTTAACTGCATCTGCCAGGCTGAAAGGTGGCCAGGTAGTTGGCTTTAGCTCTGACTGCACTGTAGACAGCCAAGTCTGGCACTGTTGTAGGGTATCCTGATGATTAACATGCTTCTGGAGTTCATTTTCCAAACTCTGGTACACCTAAAATAAACATTTTGTAAGGTCATCACATTTTCAGACACCACTACTGGGTCTTTTCTCCCACCTTGAAAACAGCAGATAAAACAGAATTATTAAGACTGGTTATTTAAGCCTTGTACATAAAAGTACCAAGGGATGAAAGCTCCTTAAGCTCTCACTGCATCTTGCTAATTTGTGGAAAAGATGGACTATATCTAAGGCATGGCTTCTGGAAAGAAAAAATAAAGATAAAATTGAAGAGCACTGTCTCCTTTTTCTGTATTCTTGTTCAACATTTTGCCATTGATCTAGTATGAGGTTTTACCTACCTCTACAAATCTTACTGGCTATGAAGTCTACTTTTTGGGGTTTTGTTTATTTGTTGTTTTTGCCTTTTTTTTTTTTTTTTTTTTTACACTGTGCTGACTTGATCTCCTAATTGGATTAACAGAATGACCCAACTAGCCCTTCTTAACTGTGTATTCTGGTTTTACTACGAGAGACTGTATTTCCCAGCACATAATTAAGACCCATTATGTACATATGCAAACTACTGCCACTAAGAGTGCAATTTACTCCCTAGTTTTTGAAGTATGAACAGTTTGAATTTCTTTGCTGCAGCTCCTCAGAAATTAGTGTAGCATGAAGGTAGTGAGGGTGTGGAGCGATTAAGGTAAGAACTGACAGGCAGTTAGTTTTGCTGGCTGTAAGGCAAGATTTGGATAACAAGGAATTCAACTGTAGCACATCAATGATGAAGTGCTACATTAGTAACCTGTAGGCTCAATTTAAATGGAAACAGTAGAAAGAGTTTTACACCATCTAAAGAAACAAGTATTTAGAGAAATAGTAGTGTGTGTTATTCTTAAATGGCATAAAAACATTTTTGAAACAAGACTTACTCTCTGGGCTGTGCTGCATATGGCAGAATAGCTGTCCTTTGTCCCCTGAAGATGGCTTTGTATGTTTTGCTTAAATTTTGCTTGAAGGTGTTCTGTGCATTGATTGATCAAGTAATCACCTTTACTCTTAAGATTGTTCAAACGATCTTCAAATCCTGCAATTTCTTCCATGATAGCCTAAGAAATAGATAAAATACTTTTGAAGAAATATTTTAAACTTAAAACATGTTCTGCATCTCAGCTTTTTAAATGAGCTTTTTTTTTTTTTTTTTTTTTTTTCCTTAAACACTCTGTCTTCAGATTTGGAAAATAGCTTTCAGGCAACATGTATTATTACAGTCAGGATGTTAAGAGTGCAAACTCATTGTAAAATCATTGTCAAAAGTCTGTACATAGATATCCCACAGAAACATCAGTAGCACTGTCATAATGTGTAAACATATGCTCATGCCCCAACACTACCCTTAATTTTCCTTTGTTGCAATGCTCTCCAGGGCTCCACCAACTTTTCTTGTGTCTAGTAATGAGGACTAAATCTGATGCTGAATCATATCTTATTCCACAAGCTCTTCCACTGTAGACGGTTCTTTCCATTGACTTTGGTGAAGCCCAATATTTATGTAAGGAGGTTACTTAAAGAATAACACACTAATCACAATGAGTTAAAAAATTTCAATATTTGCCCTGGGAATCTCAGTTTCATGGAGTGGTGGGGAGGGTTGGATTTTGCTTTCTTTTATATTCTAGAAAGCATCGGCTATCGAGGTAGTGAATGATTATCATTAATAGCAACTATAACAATACCTTGAATAAAAGCAACAGAGGAAATGTTACAACCTAATGGGGGGGTGGGGGGGGGAGAAGATCTGAAAATTTAAAATATTTTTTTGTCCTTAAAAATGCCAGAGGAAAGAAATTCCTTAGGAGTAAAATGACCCTAATCTGCTTTTTGTGGTCTATTTCCTGGGACATCTCAGCAAAAATCTGACACAGAATTCAGACCAGAGTACAACAAAGCTCTTGTGCCGATACAGTCTTATCCAAGAAACAGTGCGAACAACAAGGTAGATTTGTTAACTGCGTTAATGAAATTGATGCTTATTTACAGAGTTAGCAGTAAGAGGAATAAAACAGGTGAATGACAAATAACTAGAGCTCTGGAGTGGAGACAGAGAAGCAAAGAAGAAAAATTCTCTTTTATTGGACAAAGGAAGTTTACCCAATAGCAAACCCACCTTGTGGTTAGCTAGCTGCTGAGTGATTGTTTCAAGATTGTTATTCTCCATGAGGTCAGGGCTGACCAGCCTGCTGGACATATGTAATAACCATTTCTCCCCTTCTTGCAAATCACTGTTGTAATCTTCATGTTCTTTTACTCTCACCTCTAAGGTTTCAACATATGCCTGCAGGTCCACAGGAACCAAAATTAATATTCAGGTAATTACAAGAATTAACACCACCCCCACCCCAAACTAAAAACCACCAAGAGCTCAAAAGCATAGTAAGAGAGTTGTCTTCTAAATTTATATTCCTGTGAGGGACTCTCACGTGATTAGACTATTAAGGAAGACATCAAAGGGATTCCTTGTGTGAATAAACTCTGTGGTACTGAGCAGTATTTTCACTCTAGATGAAATACCATACTTTGAGGAAAACACTGAGGATCTCCTTACTTTAAGAGAAGGAACACTGCCAACTTGACATTAAGTTCACTTCGAAACAGTTATTACATGCTCTTTGAGAGACTGCACACGACCTACCAGTGTTATGGTTGGGTCCCTGCTGCTTACAGCCTTTGCATGTACATATTGCCTGTGATTGTGGTAGGCAAATTAAAAGTGTACACATTGAGTTAAAATGTAGTTATTCTTTTTAAGAAAGATTTTTCTTAAGTTTCTCTACATTTAAGTCATCAACATTACATCTAATGCAACAGATACCAGTTTTGTGGTACAGATCAGAGGAATGTCTGTAAACTAAAAATCAACTGTGAAAAAAATAAGATCATCTGCTATTGGTGGATGGATTAGCAGTTGAAGGTACTTAGGTCAAACATAAGTACTAACACGGTTTGCAGAGCTTATCCTTGTTAGGAGTATAACCTGTTAAAAGCTTTAGGAATAATCATACTTTAGGACATATTTAGAAGTATTAGATCTTTCAAAGTACTACATACATGTGGACTAATGAATCAATGTTAATTAATAATGTCCTTGCTGAACTAAATTATACCCATCTTGCAGTTCATTTTCTCCAGTGACTTCCATTCAACAACTAAACTAGATTAAACAGGGTTTGTGCGAGATCTAGCAGAAACAAGAGACAAAATGGTATAATTCAAGGGCATCTGTCTCTTCAAGAAGTAATGTATTTAGAAATCTATTCAAAACAATTAAAAATAGCAACAATAGTACAAACTAGTCACTGATATATTTCCCCTTAGTGCAATGAAGACTTCACCTGCCACACTTGAAATTCATTTCAGCTACTCTTGTTAGATTTATTTAGGTATTTAGGTAGAAGTTCTTTCCATATTTGAGAATCACCCCTGCCTGCACCCCACCCCCCCCCCCAAAAAAAAAAAGTGTAATTAGATTTAACTGGCTCTGTGTATAGGGTGTGACATGACAGCATGAAACAAACAGTCAACTTCTTAAAGAGGGGAAAAAATACAGCAAATTGAAAGACATGGTGTTTTCTTCCTGACTTTTTACCTTTGTTGCACCACAGAGTTCCTGGTAACTGCTCTGAAGGTCTTGAATGTTGTTCTTCAGAGTCACGTCATTCACCAGATCAAAAAGTGCTTCTCCCTTTTCAATCACTGATTTTATTGAAGGCTCATGGGACAGAACAGTCTGATGCATGGACTACAATGCAAGCAAGAATTAAAATATATACATTGAACACTGAAGATCTACTTCACTAAATTCCCTTTGATCTGAAGCATAGCCTTCTATCATGGTATATATCATCCTTTCCAGATGAGAAAAGCTTTACTACCAGTACAGGACTACGCTTCTGAGCCATGCCCTGAGACAGAACTTTGCAGGCATCTAAGAGCAATTGCTCCTTTTGTGAGTGGCTAGTAGCACAGCTGGTAATCTGGAGCTGGTGAAGGAGAGGGAGTTAGTATGTGTGAATGGGTAAGTGCTAGGGATGAAACTTGCTCAGAGGAACAAATTCTGCAAATAGGTGGGAAAGTAACACCAAAGCCACCCCCTTAATGAGACAGTCTGCAGAGAAGTGCCTAAGACTCTACTCTCAAGAGTACACAACCTGATCTGTTATGTCATTGTGCCACTGGCTCAGACAGCATGGCACATGCCAGCATCTATCAAATGACAGTGAGATACCAGCTCCCCAAACACGTAGAAAGCAAGCACACAGCTATGACATGTGACTTTGAGTACTGACGCTGGTGAGGGACAGTGGACAGTTTCAGGGAGAAAGCCTTGATGCTGTGCAGGTACTGTCCAGCAATAGCCAAAACATTTGTTAGTAACACTGTTTAAGCCATAAATGTAAAGCACAACACTATATGGACTGCTATGGAGTTAACTCCATCCCAGCCAGACCCAGTACACATCTTCTGAAACACCTGTAATCCTGGAGTCTTTTACAAAAACATCATTAAGAGAAGCAATGGGGTTTGTTGTCAACTTTTTCTACTTATTTTTATGACTGGGGAAAAAAAAAAACCCAAACACTTCATTAAAATAGTAACTAAAAACAGAGGAGGCCATAGCAACTGACTGTCTTAGATGTCAGTTGAGCTGGGACATTCAGCTTTAACCAGAAAGCTGATTAAGCCAATGTAAACAGAGGCAATGTCTGCAGTGAAGAAAGACCAACTGGTTTCTATCCTTGCTTAAACAGTAGTTAACTCTGTCATATCAATGGAATTACTCATGTGTACTCATAACAGAATTCTGCTCCGTAACAGGAAATTGTCAGATGTGAAAGCCTTGTTAGGACATTCACATTTCAAATCCAGGTGCTTACTCTGGTTTACAGATGCAGGTATCATGCATCTTTTCACTTTGATGCTGATTTGGACATCCAGATCACAGAAGTCTCATACATCTATTGAGGAAACTTGAATAAACACCTGGATCAGAGGTTTTACTGTGAGTAACTAGGTCAAAATCAATCCGGTAGTACAATGATGTAACATTTTTTACCTTGTATTTGGACAACTGGGCCTTCTTCTCATAGAGTTCGCTCTTTGGCTCCGCTGGAGCACGTAACATGGCTTGGTACTCCATGACCCACTGAGTCTGTGCCTTGTACTTATCTGAGAACTCCTTTGCCAGCTGAAGGCATTTCTCTGAAGTCATGTGCTCTTTTCTGATGGAGCCAGCCAGCTCTTCAAGCTGTTCTACATGATCTCCAATTTCTTTTCTTAACTGGTCAACTTCATTTTCTTCCATGTACTTTATTGCTCGCTCCCCCTTCTCACGGGCAGATTTCAGTAAACTGTGGCCTACGTCCATATCACCCAATAGCAGCTGTGAAGGAAGCGTTAGTTAACAGAAAATGCATGCAAGCTCTTGCCTTTTTTTTTTTCTTTTTAGTATTATCAGTGAAAGGTTAAATAATTTTTTTTATTTTTTTTAATTTTGCTAAGGACACAGAAGGAATTGCTAGGGAAATTGAATGGACTTTTCATTACAAAATTGCCTGGACTTAAGGTGTGGTAAACTAGAAGAAGCAGAAAAAGCAAATACTTCTGTTCTGCACCAGGCTTGTGAAGATAAACACACAAACTGAGGGCTATCAGGAGAGGATTCGTACTACAAATTTTGGACTAGATGAAAATTTTCCCTTAGCATATTTTGTTTAAGCTGCAGGACATATGAAAAACTCATCTACAACTCTGAGAGGAAACACGGGTTTTACTACTGAGTTATTTCAATGAGGAGAAATAGGAAGCGCTTCTTGCCTCAGTGCATGCTGGTATAAAATATAAATGACAGGATGCCTTTTGAGGGGAATTTATTTTAAGGTTTAACCTAAAACAAAACACATACAAACATGCCTTATGGAAGGATAGGATTATATTATTTAGGACTATTCATAATCTCAACAACCAAACTGTGATCTAATGTGTATATGACATGAGAACAAAAAGTTTTATACTAGGTGGCCTTTATCCTATTAGCTTATCTGGACAAGGTGAAGTCAAAATTTTGAGCAGCTGTTAAGATGCTTGTTAAAATATAGCCTCTTTTTTGTGAACAGAAAGAAAAATTGCATTCAAGAAAGCTGTACCTCTAGTTTCTGCACTTTTTTCTCCATTGCTGTTTTATCAACCACGTCAAACTTGGTGATTGCATTTCTGAAGTTCTTGTTAGTAGCTCCGTACCAATTTGTGTAAGCACTAAAAGCCAGTTCTGACTCCTCCATACAGTGTATTTCTTCTTCCAGAAACTTGATTTGCTCCTTCAAACAAATATGGAGGGTAGGGGGAGGAAACAAGAACCACCCAGATGTTTATCAGTGCTGTTGACTAAAGATAGCAATAAATTGCTATTTATTAATAAAATCTGATATACTAAGATTAAACACACAGGGTTTGAGTTCTTTCATATCTAGTGGATAATTCTCACTGGGGTCTTGTCAGGGTGTACATATAGCAATCACTATATGTTAAAACTGAGTTAATATTAAACACTGAAAAGGTACTTATATTTTGAAATTTGAATTGTGACTTGTGATTATGGTACTATGAGACAGATGCTACTTGAAGTGACCTGAAGATTGTACCTTAACAATTCAAATTGTCCCTGTACCTATGTGTTTCAGTGATAACCTGAAAACATTTCTCTAGAGATCATTCAGCATTCAAACATACTGAATTCTGAATTTCTCTCCTGAAACTGCCAAAAAAGACAGTAACAACATCTGATTAATACTGAATATTTTTGAAAGGGCACTATCCCGATTATGGTCCTCTAATACACTTAGTCCAATGAAATCTACATGTATATATGCATATATATATGTGTATATATGTAAATATTATATTATCAAGTCTACAGTAATGAATAAACTCTGATAAAGTCTAATTAAGAAAGTCTGTTTATATTTGCTTCTTAACTGACAATTTATGATGTCACAATGAATTAATTTTCATTACTTACCAAGACATGAAGAAGAAGAGTTTGGTAGCGAGATGTAAGCTGTGTAGCCTGGCTTCCCATTCGACTTGCAGTGAGACTTTCCTCTAGCATTTGCTGAGCCAATACCCCAACTTCCTCCATATCATCTTTGTAGATTGTAATTTCTTCATGCCACTTCTGTGACAAAGACATTACCCAGCTTATATAACTGATTCAAACATCTTAAACACAACAGGAATTTATTTGTAAATAAGTCAAGAAATCATTGAAAAGGAAAACAAATACATGGTTGTAAACATGGATTTACAACAGGAGAATATGCTGGAAGTTTTATCATACCATATGGACTGCATTTCATTACAATAGATTCAATGGTTTTTTTTCCTCCCCCCAAATAATAATAGAAATGCAACCTGCAGTTCCTATAGAATTTGCCCAAAGTTTTAAAGGTGACTGTAAAGCATAACCTTGAATCTCTTCAAATCTGCTTCCTGTGTTTATTCAGAACCATGTCTTCTCCTTGCAGTGACTATAGGAGAATTATTACATCAACACAGCAGAGACTTCACAACATAGTTGGTCACATTTTACTCTTGTCACAACATTAACACTTTCCCACTCCAGGACCGAACTTTGTCCTCAGTTATGCCTTCATATACCACAGAGCATATGAATTCCAGATCTCCCTATGAGATTTCAACATTGGTATAGCCACACCTTTACCAGTAAAATGGGAGGAACCCGGACCCAGAAGGCACGAAGCTCTCTTGGATCCATCATTCTAGGCACCACCTCAGAATAAATTGCAATGCTTCCTGTCATTTTCACAGTGCAACCAGGAACTGATGTGGAAACCTCACATGGTATTTTGCTTAAGGCATGCCTTAACTATATTCTTTACCTTCATTTGTTGAAGCTGCATCTCCTTTGTTGCTCTACCAGACTGCCTCCCAGTCCTGATAGCAACTTTCTTCTCCAGATCTGTTAGCCAGTCATTAACCTTCTGAAATTTTTTCTCCATTAATCTCAGTCTGCTCACAGTGGCATTTAATTGGCTTCTTGCTTCAGAAAGCCTGTGCTGATAAACTTGCCAATCCTGCCGTAAGGATTCCAGGGCTCGGTCTTCTATCTGGGGAATGCCCCAGGGAATCACCTCCTCTCTGGCATGGACAGCAGCATTCAGTAATGCTTGTCCTTCTGCACAATGGACCTGCAGCTCCTGTAAAGGCAGTTATGGATACATACCCTTCGTTAACAGCTTTCATTCACACATGGCAAACAAAGCCCTGGTTCTACTTAACACAAAAGCAGCTACCTCACGTTATCTAGATATTCCCTTTAGTTATCTATGGTTGAACACATATTACACTATCTCTAAGAACACCTATGATGGCATGCTTACTTACAAAACAAACTGAATATCACTATTATTGATAAGTGAATTGCAGAAAATTATTGACAAAGCATGCATTAAATTCTGTCCCCTCCTGCTACGTTTATCATCAGTTCTGAAACATTAACTGCCTGAGCTGGCATGGGATGGATGCAATCCATTCAGTACAGCCTTAAATTCAAAACTTTCCAGCTGTGGCAAGCAGACTGTAAGACTGATTCTAAAATTGAATCAGTTTAAAAACAAGGAGCAAGGTGAGGCTTCAATCTTTTAAAGTATGTTTGAGATATCATTCCAAAATAATTCTTGATTCTCTTCTAGACGTGTGGCATTTTCATGCTTAGTAGAACTTGATTAGAAGGTATGAAGGGATTCAATCTGATTAGAAAACATAACCAGGAAATTACCTTAACCAAATAAAGTTGTGCGTTGTCTTAGTTTATATTTGAGATATGTATTCAGATTTTCAAAATGGATTCATATTTTGTAAAGTAAACTATAAAAACAAGACATATATGCAGAGTCCCTGATCATACAAAGACCTTCTCAGTATCCTGAATAAAATAATAAATATTTCATAACTCAAGTACAGACCTTTAGCTAATTCAACAACAGGTATGAAAGTAATTTAAGCCATCTTAAGACCATAACTGGGAAATTACTCAAGTACTATAGGTTCACCTTTCCCTGTCACTTAAGTGATTCAGTAACAGTCTTCCCACCTCACCATGGGAGCTAGGCTACATGACTGAAACTGCCTGACAGTAGATGCATTTGCACTGTAAGCAATAAAAGATGGAAACCCAATGAAAAGAATACTTTGGATATTCTATGAAACACAGGGAAAAGAAGAGGTAGGCCAACATCTAAAACAAATTCAGTACTTGCAAGAAAGCATTAGTATGCCTGGAGATTTCATTCAAGGCCTGACACTTCTTTCTGGAAATGAGTGCCAATGTTTCCACTGACTTTATGGAACCACTTTTGAGCAGCAAAGTACTTACATATAACGTGATTCCAAGCTGTTCTCGAGACAAAAAAGAGATCCGATTTTTGTCTGGTAATTAATATTATTCTGTTATTTTACAAGTAGGATTTTTATTTTACCAAGGGTGTGACACATTATGTACCTGTAAGTCTCGGAGTGTTGCCTCCTGTTTCTGGGCATCACCATCAAGATGTGATAAACAGTCAAGTTTTTCCTGTTCCTTCTCCAGCCATACTTCAAAGGTCTTCAGATTTCTTTGGTACTCTTGATGTAAGTTAAGCAGTCCTTCAGCTTTTGTTACTGCCTCCTGTTTGTTAAAATATTTACATATATGTATATATTATATCTCTTACTGTATCATCCAATCAAGAAAACATAAAACCCAGACTTCCATCAAGGTGAAAAGTTCATATCTGATGCTGAGCTTTCCTAAAATTCAAGAGTACTTGGATTCTGAGGATGACTTGATCAATTACAGGGAA